GAAGGCAATGAAAAAGCAAATGATCTAGCTAGAAAAGGAGCGAATACTCCACTAACTGGACTCTGCTTTCCAAGTGGTAACCAACTCAAGGCGGAACTCAAGAACTTGGAAGACTCCATCCGCAACCTGGAATGGGAATCTTGCAACGGTCTAAGACTCTCGAAGAAGTTTCTGAGGGCTGACGACCAAGACAAATCAAGATCTTCCTGGATTTAAGTAAGAACAATCTTCGTATTGTCACGGGGTTTTTAACAGGACACTGCCTCCTCAATGAACACCTCAGTAGATTGAAACTAAGAAGAAACGGCGAATGCAGATTCTGTGAGGAAAATGGGGAAACACCAGTACACCTCATCACTGGGTGCGCCGAGACGACAACCATTCGTGCCATGAACTTTGGTCCGACTGATATTGGAGATACTAGCTTTTGTTAAAGCTCTGGGACTGTATGACGAGTTATAACCAAAAACATCTAAATAAAGGGTTATAACTCAAGAAAGGGGAACACAATAGATCTGTAAGGTCGCAGTGATTAACCCCCCTCCACACTCCATTCTAAATTCTAAATTCTAATACGAATAAGTTGACACCAAAAGTTGACACAAAATATATATATACAGAGTTGTGCAGAAGTTGTAGCTGAGATGAGAAGTATATATTATATGAACTAAAATTAAAAATAATATATTTTAGTTCTTTAAGAATCTTCCATTTATATTTATCGTATTCTTAATTCGTATAATCAACCTGTTAATACAACAACAAAATTCAACAAGGATCACTATTCATTATAGGTACATTATACATAATAGCATTTTTTTCTTCTTTATTTGGAAATATAAAGAATCGTGACTGGTCAAAGCCTTATCATTAAAAACCGAAGAATGAAAATGAAGAGAAAAAAACCGCAAACTTGTTTGGAACGATGATCTAACGTTTCGAATAATACTTGATGCGTGCCGATGAATAGCCTAAGGTCAAACGAAGATACGTTCATTTCTTCTTCTTTGTTTAGGTCTCGTGCCCAGAAAAATAAGTAAATCTAGACAGTTTCTTGTTAATATCTTGTAAATTTACAAGAATCAACAAGTAAAACCAAGATGACAGTTTTAAAAACAATATAATATAGACATTGGTCTAAGTAAGTATTGAGTGACTTATGGATGCGAACCTTAGCTACTATCGGTATCGGCGTCAAATAAGGAAGATACAAGCGATTGAAATGAAGTCCTTAGAAGGTTCAGAGGTGTGACACGAAAAGACAAAATACTTAAGAAATGATAATATAATAAGAGAAAATACAATCAAAATACAAATTCAATCAATACAAGAATTTATAGAACAACGACAATTGAGTTGGTGGGGACACAATGATGAGCAACGATATTCCAGTAAGAAAATATGGGAGGCAAGTACTCAAGGCAAGAGAAATAGAGGAAGAGCATAAGAAACATAGAACAAAATAGTAGAATATATTTTAGAAACAAAGAGAAGTACGTGGACAAAAGCAAATAAATTGGCCAAAGATAGGAAGAAATAGTCTGCATTAGTTCTAGAGATGAGCAACAAATCGCAAACTGCGATTCAATCGCAGCGATTTTAAAATCGCAATCGCAATCTAAACTGCGATTGGTTGTCATAGGAAACTGCGACTGCGATTTTTTTCTATTTGCGAGTTTCAATTTAGGCAACCAATATCTACTACTATAGTTGCAATTTGATGCGATTTTATTTATTTATAGAGAAGGTATTATGTTCTAGGGCCAAGATCAACAATATGTCGTGTGTTTCTCAAGAGTGGTTCGCCTCTATAACTTAACGAAAGCATATGACATAAATTAGTATTGATTGACGTATTCAATTCATTTCGATCACTTCCTGTTTTACCGGAAATGACTACAACTTTTGATTTTTAAATGGCACCCTCGCCTCGGTATTTTTTTACTTTATTCGATAGAGAATGACACTCTGAATAAAATGCCTAGTACAATATTTAAATATTATAATCGCAATCGCAGGTTACAGTCGCAGCGATTTAAAAATCGCAATCGCAGTTTCAATTGCGATTGGAGAATCGCAATTTTGCTCATCTTTAATTATTTCTCTATGGAAAGAAAGTGTGATCCAGACATCCTTATGGGTAAAAAGGGGGCCTTCGAATATACAGGGTGAGTCTTAAATAAGTGCAAATATTTTTAGGGGTGGTATATTTCGACCCCAGAAATACGTCTATGAGGGTCTTTTCGCGACTTTTTTTTTAAAATTTGGAATTAAAAAAAAAATGAAATTTTTTTAAATTTTTAGTTAGAAAACATAATATCTTGATACTATGGCGCCATAGGTAGTAGATTAAATTTACAAGAAAGAAACCCCAGAAAGGATCCAGTGGTTCTCAAAATGTAAGCAAAAAATATATTTTTTTTAATTTTCAAAGTAAAATATCTCCGTTATTTTGGACTTCTTTGAAAAACTCTAAAGAGAACATATGTTTCTTTTATCGAGATCTACCAGCACTGAAAATATTTGCACTTATTTAAGACTTACCATGTATATACAAGAATGATTACATATATTTTTTAAAAGATTTAGTGATATTGGACATTTTTTAAGAACCATGGCATTACGGAATTTGACCGACATATCAAGATCCTCATTGTCGTTTCTTTTAATCAAATAAACTCACATTTTTAAGCACACGCGAGCTTGAAGCACCCATTCCGACACTTGCTTTCTTATTTCAACTTCGCTTTCACCTGTTTGTACTATATAAACTCAAACGCGAGATACCTAAGTGTATTAATTCGATATATAAATATTTTCTCTTGGTCAGGAGAAAAATCTACGATATTTTCAAGGACGAACGAATATCTTCGGTCTTGTTTAGATCATAATTCTCGTAGGAAGTTTACGTATATGTATGAAATTTCTTTGTTATTGTCATATAATTATCATATATATTATAACATAGTACATAATACATTCCACAGAAAGTTTTTTTTTGTAAAATAACGTTACTAATAAAGAAAAATTTTATATACTGGGTGTTTCTCAAAAGTGGTTCACCTCTGTAGCTGTTTTATTTTTTCCGATAAAAAACTTTTTTTTGTCTAAAAACTTATATTTGTAGTATATGACATAAATTAAGATTAATTGACGGGCATTCAATAATTGAATACGTCAATAATTATTGAATCGTATTTTTAACCATATCTCAATTTTTCAAAAAATTGAGATATGGTTAATTGGTGGCTCATTAACATATTTGAATAAAGCATTTTTTACAAAAAATTTGGTACCACACACTTGGTATTTCGAGTCAAATTGAATTGTTAAAAGTTGAAATATGTTGTCATTATGATATGTCATTCCATGACATATGATATGTCATTCTATTCCGACTATTCATTTTCTATCAAATATCAAAGTAAAAAATACTGTGGGTACCATTTAAAAATCAAAAGTTATAGTCATTTCCGGTGAAACAGGAAGTGACCGAAAACAGTTGAATACGTCAATCAATTCTGATTTATGTCATATACCATATCTCGTTATTTTAAAGAAAATATAGGCCGTTTTAGGAACTTGACGACGCGACGGTACAATATAGCTATGTAGGTAAAGATTTGACTACTGTGAAAAAGCGATCAAGTACAGGGGTTTGAAAAATCTTTTTTCTTACAAAACTAGAAAATTTAAGTTTATAAATCTTTATACATATTTTACATACTAAGAGCAGTGGGGGAGAGATCCACGGGGGGGGGGGCTTCGGGGACTCAAGCCTCCCTCCACCTGAGTTCAGTCAATCAATACGATATTATTAATCTATTTTGTCGCAAACGACTCTGGAGAATGTACTTTGAGTCTAGTCCCCCCCTTTTCCGAATCCTGGATCCACCCCTGACTAAGAGTATATAAAAGTTTTTATAATTCTTAATATTTCAAAAATTTATGACTATATACGTTAATTATTAAACGATAATCGAAAAAAAACTGCGTTAAGTTGGCTTTGAAATTACGATCTTCATTGACGTTCCCCGTATAATTTTACATACAGAAAATGACAGCGATCATTTCCAAGGCATCTCTGAAAGCTTTTTTTTTAAATTGGCGATATTGAAGAAAGTATCATACGATCGAAAAAAAGCAACGTCAGAGATGGCTAGGAAATGAAGATCGCTGTCAATTTATATGTAAAAAATAAGAGAATGTCAAGGATCGTCATGTTATTTCAAAGCTGATTTTTAAGTACACTTTTTTATATTTTTTTACGATCATATACTGCATTATTATTGAAAAGACGTAAGCTTCATTGAGAACCTCGCAATTAGTGGAATAAATTAGTGGTTTCAATTACACTTTATACTTTTTAGTTTACAATCATTCACAATATTTAAAAAAACACAATTAAAATTAATAGAATATCCTAGCAACAGCTTGCGTTAATCAGGTCATATAAACAAGGGTCAGGTGTATCCATAGAGAAAGACTAATATTTAGATTATAAAACAATCAAATTTTGATTTCTAACCACAATTTCTTTTGACAGAAGATAAGCAAAGGCCAAAATGAGATTTCTCGCAAATTTTGAAGTATCATTAGTGGAAAAGTTAAAAGTTTGATAACTTTTTCTACTAATTGAAAATGTCTACCACTAATTTTGACGTTCTGAATGCTTACATTGTAATTAATTAAAGGAACAAACTTCTACGCTAATTGAAACCACTAATTTATTCCACTAATTGCGAGGTTCTGAATGAAGCTGTAGATTTAAAACCTACAGGTCGTTTTGAATTTATATATTATACGATGCTAGAGGTGTTGTTTTTTATACCCTGTATATTGAAGAATCAAAACCAAGAAACCGATTTAACTGTATATTACATAAACGAAAGAAGAAAATATTCATAAACACGTCCAATTAAAATTAATGAGCAAAACCTGATGGCGTTGGAATGTCTAAGCTATTTAATAGTCGTACCATTCGGGTACCGCTTTTTTACCTTTTGGCATGCCACAAGGTGCTTTGGTGCGGGAACTATCCAAAAAATCCAAATCGTACTTCCTAGCTGGGGGAAACACTAAGGCCACATGTCCATCACTGTAATTTACTACGCAAATCAGTACTGCGAGTATCAAACCACACACCGCGGTTGCCATATTGTGTCGGTGCATTCTAAATCCAGTAAAAAGTAATTGAACACGGTCTAACAAACATTTTGCATCTTGATGATGCCCAGGAACCCTAGTACTGCTTTGCTGATTGCTTTTTGTGCAAGAACACTTCACAATTAGACGTTTTTTTCGGCGGTTTATTATACGCGGCTCGCGAGATTGAATTGTAGTATCTATGGTACTGTCTCCTTGGGTTCTGGTGCGGTTCTGTCTTGCGGAACACCTTGGCAGGTAAGAAGGGGGGCAAGAGGTGCGTTTAGAGGAGAAGGGATCTCAGGTTCTATATCTACGAGGGTACCATGGAAATTGTTAGTAGAAGAAAATTAGGAATTTTTATCTATCGATAAATGGTTCTGTTTATTTGCATCACCCATCTTTCTGAGAAGAATAATAATGTTGATGGTATTTTTCGTACCTTAAATTCTTTAGGCATAGCCGTAGAATAAGGGTAAAAATAATATTTTATACAATTTGTCGAATATACATATACATATAACCATATTAAATGTATGTTCACAACAATATAGCCATCAATCGCGCCATCCGGCCGCAGCGGAGTGGGGTGTTCTCAACAACACCCCACTCGGCTACGGCCGGATGGCGCGATTGACGGCTATTTAGTAATATGCGTACGGGAAAGGTGAAAAGTATCCCCACCCTTACATAAATTTTAGTAGAAATCGAGGTAGAAATATTTTCCAACCCAACCGAGGACCGATTACCGTTTTTTTCGTAAAATGGTGGTTCTTGTATTTACTACATTTCTGGTCTCTTGTAAAAAAACGCCATCGCGCTTACTTTTTGAAGAAAAAAATTATTTTTCCGAAGCTGACTTCCAAAAAATGTTTTTTGTTACATCAAGCTATGGAGCTAATGAAATCTTATGTTAGTATCACAAATTATATTTGACAATAAGCTTCATAAAAAGCTTAAAAAATGAATAAGGTATTAATTAACGTTCGGGTTTATTATGCAGGGTGGTTCGAACGTATTCCGGAAACTTCGGCAGCGTATTCTGCAGATAAAAATAAGTAAAAAATTCGTATAAATGTATGTCCTAAAATACTTAGTTTCGGTGATACATGATGTAGAAGTTTGATTTTTGTTTCGATTTTTTCAAAACTTCTGATGTAACGTCAATATTATGATGAATATTGGTGTCTGAGAGTTTTTTGACATGAGAAATTTGATTTTGATGTCACTATGACTCCTGTGTGTAGGGGGCGCCACCTACATGTGTTTTAACTGTTTTGAAGAGTAATAACTTTTCGTCAGTACCTGTATAAAACTACTGATTGAAAAAATATAAATTTTCGTGACTTTTTACGTGAAAAATGTCTCTTGTGAAAAATCGCTACGAGCAACCGTTCTCAAAATATTTAAAATTGAAATTGTCAATACATGTCATAATTGAGAAAAAACACATTGAGTATTTAGATAGTTATTTCACTGAAATAATAAATTTGGGAAATTTTTATTTTTTTAAATTAATCATACATTTTTCTGATGAATGAATGAAAAAATGATGATAAAACAGTTTCTGTTAAAGTTTTGGCACAAAAACATTTCAAATTTATGATTTCAGTCTAATAACTATTTAGTCAACATGCGTTTATGTCATTGATAACACGTATTGATAAATTTGATTTCAAATATCTCGAGAACCATTACTCGTAGCGATTTTTACCAAGAGACCTTTTTACGTAAAAAACATCGTAAATGTATATTTTCGTAACTCAGTAGTTTTATACAGGACCCGGACGAAAAGTTATTGCTCTTCAAACCAGTTAAAAAATATGTAGGTGGCGCCCTCTACAAGTAGGAGTGATATTAACATAAAAATCAAATTTCTCATATCAAAAAACGCCCAGACTCCAATTTTCATCCAAATATTGACGTTACTTCATAAACTATTTGGAAAAATTCGTAATAAAAATGAAACTTCTACACCCTGTATCTCTACTAAGTATTTTAGGACATACATTTATACAAACTTTTTTACTTATTTTGATCTGCAGAATATGCTGCTGAAGTTTCCGGAATACAGTTCGGACCACCCTGTATATCTAGGGACTTTAGGGTTTATTAGCCGACCATACCAACAGGTATGTTTTTTTAATTTCACTCAAAATTAGTTATTTATTTTACATAAATGACCTAAATACAAAATATTTTCGTGGTGTCTGTCTGTCTGTCGGTCTGTTTGTCTGTCTGTCTGCCGTTTGTAACACGATAACTCAAAAACCGCTAAATTTAACCGAACCGATTTTAACCAAATTTGGCACAAAAATACTGTGGCACCCGAGAATCTGGCCATTAGTTTTTGGTGGGGGTGGGGGGTTGGTAAGGGGGTATAGGAGGGGGCTAAAAATTAAAAAAAATCGTAACTCCAAAATTACAGTAGCTAGCGAAACGCGGTTTTCAAATTAAGATTAGGAATAATATTTGCAACAAAATTTGTAATAACATCAAAATCAGCCAAAGTCGCAGTTTTCGAGATACTGACATATTTTAGTATGGGCGGCTATACGTGCCTCCCGGCGCCAAGTTTTTTTGATTGGTACTTGGCTTTTTTGATTGGTACCTCTAACGGACAAACAAAGCGCATTTGTATAAAGGTAAATTATGTGCAATTAACTTATTTTGATTAAAAAAAACGTAGTTGTTCTATGTTCAAGAAATATTGGAACTCCCTATATACCGGGTGAGTCTTAAATAAGTGCAAATATTTTTAGCGGTGATATATTTCGACTCCTTTCGATTCCAAAAATACGTAATAGAATATCAGGACACCCTGTGGCACATGATATTGGCGTTTTTGGTGAAGTTAGGGATGTTGAGAAACTACACTTACTGTGTACTAATTAAAAGCCGGAAGTTACAACTTGCAAAAATAATAATAATTTTGGTTTTACGAGTACGGTATTGTATGCATATATTTGGGTACCATAAAAAATCGTTCAAAAACGAGAATGCATAAAATAAAACTTTCTATATGACTATAGAGCCACAAGTCAAAAAGCACTTAACAATTTTTATAAAATTTCAGAACCTAATGATCATCTCTCGAATGCTTAAATGTTTTTTTCACTATTTTTTTAGGATCCCTGAAAACGTCATGAAAATAGGCGGTTTGGGCCAAGTCGCAGATTTTGATAAAACTACTGTTAGTGGCTGTTCACAATTATATTATAAAATTCAAAAACAACAGTCCGAAAAATTATTTTTTTTTCTTATAAAATCAGAAGACTTAGACTATTATAAATCTCTATATATCCTGAAAGATCATAAAATATTCTACAAAGTTTTAAGATTTTAGAATTTTATAACCATGGGTAATATTTTTTATTGAAAGCCCTGAAAGCAAGCCATTGTTCTTCCTCTGCTGAAATTTCTCTAGGGATGTAAATTAGATGCGCGTATGCTACAAAAGAATAAGAAAAAAATATATACCCGCCTCTCAAGAAGAATTCTAAGCATTCATGGTACGACCGCGGGCGATGGTATTACATACAATGGTTCGTGGGCTTCGTCTTGACGATTATTTAAATATCTTCCGTCCTGGTATGATTAATATTCTAATATTCAACGATATAATCCTAAAATACAGGGTCCTTTACACAAGTAGTATTACTTTAGCAGTAAATGATCTAAACATGCCCAAGAAAATTTTGATTATACCGTATGATCGAAAATAAACGGCGTCCAGTTGGCTTGGAAATGAATATCGATGACATTCCCCATATCATTTTTTTACATCTAATATACAGGGTGTCCTAGAAATAAGTGCAAGACTGGTAGTATAGTTCAACCCCAGAAACACGCCTATGAGTTTTTTTTTGGTGAAAAATATTTTTTGAAAATTCGAAATTTTTTAAAAAAATTTTTGGAATTTTTTTTATTTTTTAGTTAAAAAACATAATTTCTTGATAATATGGTAACATAGGCATTAGATTAAATTTACAAGAAAGAAAATCCAGAAAAGATCCAGTGATTCTCAACATTTTAGCAAAAAAATAGGAGAAAATATGTTTCTTTTATCGAGATCTACCACCCCTTAAAATACTTGCACTTATTTCTGTCTTACACCCTGTATAAAATGCTTGTATCACAGTTTTTATTACCAAAAGGGCCTGACCGATTTTGATGAAATTTTATATGTATATTCAGTAGGTCTGAGAATAGGTTGTTATCTATGTTTATCAGGGCCGGCGGAAGGGCCGGCGGAAGGGCCGGGCGACCCGGGCGGCCGCCCGGGGCGCCGGATTCGAGAGGCGCCACGACAGAATAATTAAAAACAAACGAAAATATTTAAAAAGAGTAATCTAAACAAATAGTAACGAATATCCAGTTCAATAATTAATCGGTGCTGTCAATTTCCACACTACCATATTAGCCTTGTTAACATATTAGCTATTAACACACCACATAGGGAAGAATATCTGACTAATCATTATAAACACTATACTATATCCTAGATGTATCCTATTATAGTTTACTGAAATTATGCTCAAAAAATCCTTAGCACGAAAGCTTTGGGATAGTTTTGATTTCTTCTATTCTATATGTTATTTGAGTGCTCTATCCGAAACTGGAATTTGCGAATTCATTTTCGTGGAAGAATATTAAACAAAATTAAATAAAAAAATATAAATCCCATTTATTCGTGGCATTTTACTTATAACTCAAAAGCTAACAACTTTTTGTAAATAATCCTTCTTTCTATAATTCTCGTTTTTATAAATTTCTAAACACTGTTTTGGGCCAAGAGCCAGCAAAATTAACAGTTTTAGACTGACCGGTCAAAACACCGGCCAAACCAAACCACACCCTTTATTTGTTATTAATGGCTGATATGCCCTAAAATTATATGAGGCAAATATTCATTCGCAAGAAGTTGAAGAGGATCCCGATATCCTTATTATCAAAAAAAAGCTTATAAGTTTGCCTCATTAATTAAATTAATTTATTAATAGTAGTGGGAAAGATATCAATCGTTTGGTGGTTTTGATTGTTCCGGATTGAATATGTAGTATAATACACTGAAAATGGTAGCATAATCGTAGAATTTTCCCATTAGAGCAATCACACAAAGAAAAATTTCTCACAAAGAAATACATCTCAAACACTGGCTGATCCTCATTTTGAAGCCGACAAAACTGTCTGATAACATAATACATAATACTGATTCTGCACTAAATATGTAATTGTTTGTGAAAAAGAAAGGAAAATTTTCTTAAATTCTTAATAATAAAATATAATAAAATATAATGCAACTGCTTTCAATTAAATACTAATGTTTTCAAAGATCACTTCTAGCAGAAAGAGACTGCCGAAGTTGGAATCCTATTTCTTATGGCTCTATATACTGGGTGCCGTGCGTCTCAAAAGTTTCTCCCCCTATAATTTGTTTATTTTTTTGGATGAAGAAACGAGATTTGGTATGTTAGTATACGATATAAATTAGGATTAATTGACGTATTCAATTGTTTTGGTCACTTCCTGTTTCACCGGAAATTACTACAACTTAAATGGCACCCTCGGTATATTTCTATTATACGCGATAGAAAATGACACTCTGAATAGGATGACATATCATATGTCAACTTTTGACCTTTTTGCATATGGTTTATTTGAAATTGTAACACATTGTAACATGCGGTTCATAACGTCGAACAATTTGTAACAATTTGACTCGAAATACCAAGTGTGTGGTATCAAATTATTCGTATAAAAATGCTTTTTCCAAATATGCTAATAAGCTACCCTTGTTCCATTTAAAAAAAATGAGATATGGTTAAAAATACGATTTAAGCATCTTTTAACGGGCCGGGACGAAAAAAAGACACGAAAAACATTAGACGATCAAACCTTTTTTACCAAGTCTCCTTATTTAAACTAATAAATTAGTGTTTTTCACACAGCCATGGCACTATAGATTAAAAATTAAAATACGATTTTTTATGCGAAAATGTCAAAAGTGACATAAGATATGCAATTCTACTCAGAATGTTATTTTCCTTTGGAATAAAGTAGAAATATACCGAGGGTGCATTTAAAATCAAAAGTTTAATCAAGTCATTTCCGGTCAAACAGGAAGTGACTAAAAACAACTATTGAATACGTCAATCAAGCCTAATATATGCCATATAAATAATATGTCATATGTCTAACCTTAGATTAAGAATAAAAAATACTAACGTACCAAAACTCGCTTTTTATCTTAAAAAAAAAAAAATAAAAAAAATATAGGAATGAGTCACTTTCGCGACGCACCCGGTGTAGAAAAAAAACAACAATCCCAGACTAAGATTGGGAAACAAAGAGAAGAATTTTGAAGTATATCTTTAAGTGAAAATATATTGTTAAAGTAGCATAAATATGCTTAGTTGTAGTTAAAGTTTAATAATTTTAGGGGGGGGGGCGCCAGAGAGGTTACTCGCCCGGTCTCAATATTTTCCTTCCGCCGGCCCTGATGTTTATATATTTTATACCCCTAAGTGATAAAGGTGGTCCACCCCAATTTTTTTTTATTTTTTGGACAAAACTTTTTATTTTTTAAGATGTGGCATTAAAAAATACATTTAACCCTAAATTTTCACCTTTTAACCATCAACCCCTATTTTTTAATAGCGATGTTAGTAATTCAATAATTTGTGTCACAGTTTTAGTTACCATACTTCTCCGAAACGGCTTGACCGATTTTGATGAAATTCTGTATGTATATTCAGTAGGTCTGAGAATAGGTTGTTATCTATTTTTTATATCCCTAAGTGATAAGGGTGGCCCAATCCATTTTTTTTTAAATTTTTTGAACAAAATTTTTTATTTTTATTTTTTATGATGTGGCCTTTAAATACATAATAATAATAGCTCCCGTATATAGCGTTTAACGCCTTGGGAGTAGCAAGGTACAGCTTGCTCTACTAGAGTCGTTCGGTATACAAGGACGGTAATGTGGCTAGCACTACGCTTCAACCGCCTATTATTACTTCAGGATTGTGAATCCCAAGTACTCATTAAAGGCTGAGTCGACCTAGGTACCCAAACTATTTTTATTTTAATAAAAATAGTGGGCTGATGCAATGCCGGGTGTGGGATTCGAACCTACTACCTTGAGATTGGTAGACGAGAGCCTGTACCTCTACGCCACCAGGCAAAAAATACATACAAACCTAAATTTTCATTCTTTAACCCTCAACCCCTATTTTTTAATAGCGATATTAGTAATTCAATAATTTGTGTCACAGTTTTAGTTACCATACTTCTCTAGGTAACTGGTAACTAAAATCTATATATAATACCGTATGATCGAGAAAAAACGGCGTCAGCGATGGCTATGGAATGAAGATCGCTGTCATTTTATATGTAAATTTATATGGAAAATGTCATTGATGTTCATTTCCCAGCCAACTGGACGCGGTTTTTTTTCGATCATACGGTATATAATTTTCATATAAAATGGTAGCGATCTTCATTTCATAGCCATGGCTAAATCGTTTTTTTCGATCATATTGTATTTTAGGAGTGTTTTCTGTTTTATTTAATGAAGATTTTTTTCGTATACCGTCGCGGCGCTGCGGTACTTTCACTTTAGTAAAGTTTTGCTAGGCTAGGAATGTGCACACCTGCTCCGAATTGCGATGCCTCTGGTAGAATGCCGTAGCGTTCGAGTTGCACAATTCATTGTATTCTGAACAGTTTTCGCAAGAACATAACACACAGTTATTATTAGTTCTCTCATCTAGAGAACTAATAATTTTCCCTTTCTTAAAAAATAGATTTCTGACGTTCATTTTCATCATTTTCACAACGATATTATTGATAACAAAAAGTTAGTTATTGTCAGAGATAGTTAAAATATTAAAGTTCACAAGTTATAATTAGTAATTAGACAATTTTTATTTTATATTATTTCAAAAACACTAAAAGCCTAGTAGCATAATTTTGACATGCAGGTTTAAAACAAAAAGTTGCGTGCTCGGGAGATCAAGCCAAGTTCCTCCTAAAGCTACTCCTCAGAATTGAAGCTACCTCGGCCGCTGCTAAAGCTGTGGATGACGAATGCAAGTACCAAGTACGTTCATGGGTGGAGATATGAGCAGGACTACTAGTGGTAGTATTTATTCATTTCCTCAAAAACGCTATTGTGTTCTGGAGGGGGTGGTTGGAAGTTTTCAATCTGATGGGTGCTGATCAGTGCTGATCTATTTTTCAGTTTTCATTGTCAGCCGCGGAAGTTTCAGTTATTTTAATGTTGTCGGATATTTTTGTTTGTGAAAAATAAAAATGTTGGGTTTGTATTGCAAAACTAAAAGAGGCAGTTTAATTACAATGTAAGTAAGCGTTTGTCCATTTTATATTTTACTTTTTTTATACCCACGACAAATATATCTATTATTCATGATCATATTATACTGTGATATACAGGGTTGTCCGAACTGTATTCCGGAAACTTCGGTAGCATATTCTGCAGATAAAAATAAGTAAAATAGTTGGTATAAATGTATGTCCTGAAATGCTTAGTTTCAGAGATACAGGGTGTAGAAATTTCATTTTTATATCAATTTTTTCCAAATAATTTCTGAAGTAACGTCAATATTTGGATGAAAATTGGTGTCTGGGAGTTTTTTGGCATAAGAAATTTGATTTTGATGTCAGTATGACTCCTACTTGTACAAAAATATACATTTACGACATTTTTTACGTAAAAAAGATCTCTTGGTAAAAATCGCTGCGAGTAATGGTTCTCGAGATATTTGGAATCGAAATTATCAATACCTGTCATCATTGACATAAATTAAACATGTTGACTAAATAGTTATTAGATTGAAATCATAAATTTGAAATGCTCTTGTATCAAAAGATTAACAGAAACTGTTTTAACATCATTTTTTCGCAGAAAATTTATGATTAATTTAAAAAAATAAAAATTTCACAAATTTATTATTTTAGTCAAATAACTATCTACTCAACGTGTTTATGTTTTGTTAATAATGACATGTATTGACTATTTCCATTCTAAATATCTTGAGAACGGGTTGCTCCTAACGATTTTTACCAAGAGATATTTTTTACGGCAAAAGTCACGGAAATGTATATTTTTTCACTCGCCAGTTTTATACAGGTACGGACGAAAAGTTATTACTCTTCAAAACAGTTTAAACACAATACATGTAGGTGGCGCCCCCTACTATTAGAAGTCATATTGATATCAAAATCATTTTTATGCAAATATTGACGTTACTTCAGAAATTATTTGGAAAAAATCGAAAGAAAAATGAAACTTCTACACCCTGTATCTCCGAAACTAAGCATTTTAGGACATACATTTATACAAGCTTTTTTGCTTATTTTTATCTGCAGAATATGCCGCCGAAGTTTCCGGAATACAGTTCGGACCAGCCTGTATATTTAGATATCGGTTTCTATTCTAAAGAACATCACTATTTTACCTCAAATAAATCATAAATATTCTATGCTCGGCGTGTATCCTATATATGCACTTCCAATATACTTCTATATGAAAATATCCGGCTTTTTCCCATTTGAGTCATACAACACCAAATACAATATAGAAGGAAAAATTTTCCTTGATTAGTTATTCGTATCACAGAACCAACGCATATCCTGGGACAGTGAAATGAATGACTATGTCTGTATACACACCTACTATACCTACGTATTTTATCCTTATCTTTAAAATTTTATCTCTCAGCGCCATATCTTTTTTTAGTTGATTATATGCTTTCAACAAGTAAATATATAAAAACAAAAAACATAAAAAATGGGGAACTGTAGTAAAGAAAAAACAGAATCTGAATCTAGGGATTTTATTTTATTCAAAGAGGCTATTTTGAGAAATCCTGCAGATTGGACAAAAGAACACATTAGAATACTCCCTATAGTAAGTCTATACCTAATATTTTATCTTATCATTTTATATTAATACTATGTTTATATTAAAATTGAATTTTTGAATGCCTACATTTTAAAATAATTTCGGTTGAAGTTTTTTGTATAAAAAGATTTAAGAAAGGAGCATATCAAAAAACTCAGATGGAGCGCGATAGGGGATTAATATGCCTGAAATTCCGGTTTAGCAGTGCCGTTCTAATTCTATTTAAAACGTATAAAAACTATAATGTAAGGTAGACTCAATAAGTTGTTGGTTTTGTTTTATATTGTCGATAAATTAATGTTACTCCTATAAGTTATTAAAATCGTTAAAAAATATATACCAGGGTGGCGCACCTCATTCGCCTCGGTTGATTATACGAAAACCACAGACGAAAACGGAAAGCTGTAGAAACATAATATTTTATGGGTATATGTGGGGAGGTAATGAGCACAATTTAAAATTATTTTGAAATATACAGGGTGTTTCAGAACTAAGATCCGTACCAAAGTTATATTTTTTCTTATGTAACATCTGGTATTTTATTTCATTTTTGGATTCTTGGGCCCAAAAAAGGCACTTATTATAAGGGTTAAATATATGTAAAATATTTGGTTATTGAGATATTTCAAGATATTTAAATATGTATGCTACAATAGAATAGATAATTTACATCCTGTACATTACTTTTCAGAATTAATTCTTGCGCTGAGTTTAAAGGTAGAGAAATAAACTTTACTGAAAAATGTTATTGTCTCCTTAAAATTTATACAGGGGTACCAACAATTCCTGATTTATTTTATATAAAAACTTCGTTATTTCAAATGCGACACCCTTTATTGTTTAAAATAAATCGAAGCAGATTCAAATAAATGCTCTTTCAAACTATATTAGGGTTACATATATCTAGCTCAGATTTTGAATAAAAGCGATTTTTTAATTAAAATGAGAATCAAGATGGCTGGTGTCGCTATGGCAATTTTCTAGTGACAGTAACTATTTTCAAAATCGGCATTAGTTTATGGACATTATTATTTAGATTTATGACAGTTTACTTAAATTTACCTACAATAGTTTAATTAGTAAATATTCATTATTTTATCAAGAAAAATAAAGCAGTATCTGCTGGCGGAACGAATGAATATTTTACCAGTGATTTTATTTTCTGAGGAAAATTGCTTCTTGGCCTCAAGAGCTTATGCTCAGAGATATCCAAATATGAATCTTCCTGATAAGCGTTCATTTGAAAAACTACTTGTCCTATTTCGCAGAGCTGGTAGTGTGGTTTATAAAAAATCTATTAGGCCGAAACCAGTCGGAAATGAAGAAAATGAATTTGCCGTAATTGGCTCTTTTATAGGAAATCCATATAACAAGTCATTTTGATAGAATAATAAATACATATTTAATAAATATTATTTATTAAACTATTGTAGGTAAATTAAATAAAAGTAAACTGGTATAAATTTAAATAAAGTCCATAAACTAATTTCGATTTTGAAAATAGCTACTAGAAACTTGCCATGACTACACCAACCCTCTTATTCAAAATCTGAGCTGATATAGGTATAGAAAACCCTAATATAGTCTGAAAGAGCATTTGAATCTGCTTCGACTTATTTAAAAAAATACAGGGTGTTGTATTTGAAATAACGAAGTTTTTATGTAAAAAAATATTTAAAATAAACCAGTAATTTTTGATACCCCTGTATACATTAAACAAAACAATCAAATTTTTCAGTAATGTTTATTTCTTTGGCTAATAGTCGGCATAAGAATTAATTCTGAAAAGCAGTGTACCTACAATCTTTTTTATTATAGCATGCATATTTAAAGATCTTTAAATATCTCAAAAACCAAAACTTGTAAAATTTCAAAGGAAAGTCAAATCAAATGTGTCAAATGAAATGTCAAACAAAACTGTCAAAAATGAGGGCTCATGATGTCGATTCTGTCCATAGATAAAAGAAAATAACCATCTATTAAGATAGATATGAAACTTAAAAGAATATATAAACAAGGTTAACAGTAAAATTTTTAGTCAAAGCTCCCATCCGTGTCCTAAGTCAAAATTGCGTTTAACCCAGCGCCTTCGCCTTTTCTGCTGTAAATGGTTTTTTAGATTTATATTTGAATCCAAAGGGTTAATTTAAAAAAGTTAACTGAAGCCAAAGTTACTCTGATATTATTAGTATATCAGAGTAACTTTAATAAATTATAAAAATAGATAAATTTGACAGTTTATTAAAAATACATTTTGTCTACAAGCTAGTAATTAAATCACAATATTTTTAATAAAAGTTACGAAAGTATAGTTAACAAAAATATATAAAAACTAGCTGATGCCTGCCCACTTCGCATCCACAAACATTTGAAACGATATATTTCTTTATATGTGGAATGTTTCTTGTGTGTCATTTTTGAAATAAACTAATAAAACTGGATAAAACAAGAGACGACGCACGACGGATTTATACAGGGTCCGGCAATAGTGCGTCGGGCATCTGTAGGTCCTAGAATAAAAACTTGAAAATTTTGTTTACGTGCTAACCTAAAGTTTGTACGATGATGTATTTTAGGAAAATATTTTAACTTCTATAAGGCGGGCTCAAAAAAGTGTGAGTGGATTGGGTTGCTTTTTTTAAATGGAACATCTTGTAAATTATTGCATATTTGTCTTCCTTTCAGATCACTTTACATAATCCTAGGATATGGGTAAATATATTTTGATAATTCCAGAGATATTAATAAATAAATAAAAAATATATATTTTTCAACCTTCCTTAAATAAATTATAACAAATACAAGAATTGTCCTGAAATCAGAACCAAATTAGGTATTTACTTTAGATGGTCTATACTTACTTTGCTATAAATATTAAATATAGTAATCTTAAACAACACAGGGTTTTCAAAATTCTACGCCAAACTTTCCAAAATTTAAAATAATTTTTTTTTGTTTTTGAAATACTTTAAATACAAAAAATGAACATTTTTTGTATTTAAAGTATTTCAAAATTTTTAATGGTTTCGTAGATACACGCGGTATTATTTCATATGGCTCTCTCAATGGTAAAATACGAGAGAAAAATCATTGTATGGCTTTAATAAAAATTGACTGTGGAAACCCTTAAAAACCCTTAAAAATTTTGAAATACTCTAAACACAAAAAATGTTTATTTTTTAACTCTCCATTGAATAAAAAATAATATACAGGGTGTTCTATTTAAAGAAAAGCAAAGAAAAATTACTTTATATTTTAGAAAGTTTGGCGTAGAATTTTGAACATCCTGTATGATTTACAATTACCATATTTATAGCAAAGTAAGTACAGACCATCTAAAGTAAATACTTAATATAGTTTTGATTTCAGGGCAGTTCTTGTATTTTTAATATTTTTTTAAGAAAGGCTGAAAAATATATATTTTTATTTATTCATTAATATCTCTGAAACTATTGAAATATATTTACTCATATCTTAGGATTTTGTAAAGCGATCTAAAAGGAAGTCAAAAATGCAACAATATACAGGGTGTTCCAATTAACAAAATTTCCCGATCCACTTACACCTTTTTGAGCCATCCTATATAAGTTAAAATAGTTTCCTGAAATACATCCTAGTACATACTTTAGGTTTACACTTAAACAAAATTTCCAAGTTTTTTCTTCTAGGAGCTACAGATGCCCGACGCACTATTGCCGGACTCTGTATAAAGGAGTAATTATATTAATTTAGTTTAATTTAGTTTTTCTAGAAGTACTTAGTTCCTTTAATTTATTTATTGTTCAGGAATACTTGAAGACATTATCACCCATCGTGCTGGGAACCATCTGGAACGACTTAGAAGAGTCGAAAAGAAAAAATATAGAACTGCAAACTCACCTACCATGTTTGGAACACTACAATCGAGATGAAGACGAAGTTCACATTGATGGCCCACCACCAGCAAGATACAGATGCCACATATGTTCACATTGACTTTGATTATTTGTTTTATATAAAGGCTCGTTATTAAGTAACTATATCTCAGATCAATTCTGATCGTATTATAAAAAAGTTTATACATGGGATGTTTCTTAAATATGTGAAGATATTTTCAGAAGTGGTAGATCTGGATAAAATGAAGATATTTACTATTTTTCAAATAATTTTTTTGCACTTTTATTTTGAACAAATATACAGGGTGGCCCTAACTGTATTCGGGAAAAATTATTCTGCAGATAAAAATAAGTAAAAAAGTTCGTGTAAATTTATGTCCTAAAATGCTTCTTTTTGGAGATACAGGGTGTAGAAGTTTCATTTTTATTTCGATTTTTTCTAAATAATTTAACTAACGCCGATATTTGGATTTGATTTTCTGGCTACAAGAAAAATGAAGAGAATTCTGGGGACAAAAAATGAAGAGAATAATTAAATTTTCCACATTTTCACATCTCGCCAAAGTCGCACAAACGCGGTTTTTGCATTTTTGCAAACATGGTTTTTTGCATTTTTCGGGTTAAACCATTTTTTTACTGTCGCAAAGTTTTTAAAATTAAATAGCATAAAAAACATGACCAAATTGATATGTAACTTTCTTTACGTTTTACTGTTTACGAGATATGTATATTGCATTCATTCCCACATTGTGTATGCAAGTTTCATTTTTTGTAAGCTTTTCCAGTAGACCACTTACCATTGGCAAAGTATTAGAGCGGGGGTAATTTAATGGGCGTCTAGACTAGTGATGGGAGACTAGTGATGGGATCGCGTACTCGAGCGAAAATTCGCTCGAGTACGCGATTATTGAAATAACCGACATCGCTCGATTATGAACGAGCGACGAAGATCCTATCGAGCGAATTTGCCACATACATTGCAGATTGGCAATATTTTATTAGTATTTTTGGTAAAATATCGTCAATCAACAGATTGTTCTTTTGATTGGGACCGCATTGTTAATTATAGGACTATACGATTATATCTGTTACGTAACTGTGTGACAAAATTTTACTACCTACATCGACAAGGCTTCGATGCATGATCAAGCGAAACTACTCGTCGCGTGTCGCTTGTCGCTTGCCACTATCATCGAAAGAATATGCGCTCTGCGCACGCAGCTCACTGCTTGGCGTAACGAGTAAAAGTACAAGCGACTGCGACGACGAAAAACCGTATATTTAAATACGAGCAAAATCTCGCTCGAGTGATCACTCGATTATTGGAATCGCTTGAAACTCGAGTACTCGATTATTAAAATTTGTCGGTTTTTCCCATCATTAGTCTAGACCTTTTTTGATGCCAGATGACTGTACTATTACCGCAGTGAAAAGTTACTCCCCTATTTATTTCGATTTTTGATCGAAATCTACCGCACGATGCACAACTATTTTACAATAATGTCACTGTTAATTCAAGTTCTGACGCAATATTCTTTTAAAATTTAGTACCTCTCAAAATCAGTTGTAGAATAAATATAAAATAAAAATCACAGAGAAACTTAACAAATCCGTAAAATTTACAGATTTTTTTAAACATAACAAATCCGTATTTTTCGTATAAATATATGTCCTAAAATGCTTCGTTTCGGAGATACAGGGTGTATAAGTTTCATTTTTATTTCGATTTTTTTCTAAATAATTTAACTAACGCCGATATTTGGATGAAAATTGGTGTCTGGGTGATTTTTGACATGAGAAATTCGATTTCGATGTCAGTATGACTCCTGCTTGTAGGGGGCGCCACCTATATATTTTTAGCTGTTTTGAAGAGTAATAACTTTTTGTCCGTATACTTAATACGTATTACACTATCACATTTTCTTCATTTTTTACGTAAAAAAGGTCTTTTGGTAAAAATCCCTACGAGCAACCGTTCTCAAGAGATTTGGAATTCAAATAGTCAATACATGTCGTTATGTTTATTTAAAAAATTTTCTAGACAAAATTATGATAAAATAGTTTCTGTTGAAACTTTAGCACAAGACATTTCAAATTTATTATTTCAGTCTAATAACAATAGTCTAGTCAATATGTTCTATTTTTATTCCAAATATTTTGAGAACCATTACTCGTAGCGATTTTTACAAAGAGATCTTTTTTACATAAAATAAGGCGGAAATTTATTTTTCTCTTCGTAGTTTTATACAGGTACGGACAAAAAGTTATTACTCTTCAAAACAGTTAAAGAACATGTAGGTCACGCCTTATATACATGTAGGGGTCATCTGGCATTGAAACTGAATTTATAATGTCAAAAAACAACCAGATGCGAGATTTCATCCGAAAAAAAAAGATAAATGATTGTCCCTGTGTCTTCAAAACGAAGCATTTTAGGACATGATTTTATACGAACTTTTTTATTTTTTATTCATTTTTATTTGCAGAATATGTTGCCAAAGTTTCCCGATTCCAATTTGGATCCCCTTTATATAGATTCAGATTCTGCGGTCGAAATAGACTAATGATATAGGAAAAATAAATATTAATACGTATTTAAGAGAAACACCTTGTATAAATTAGTACGCTTGTATTATACATGTTATTAACACACTATTTATAAAATGACATACTACAAAGGTTTTTCTTTTTTCTCTCTCTTTAGATGAAAAATAATATGTTTAGTTAATATTTTAAAAACTGATCCAGATTATTTTTTCTGTTTCCATGAGGATCTACTGGAAAAATTAACATGTCTCCCACAAAAGTAGGCACCAATCGTCTCTGTTCAACCACCGTTTTAAGGTTCGGATTCCATCTGATGATGTCATTGAAATTATCCCTGGACACTACTATACCTTCATTGGCTGCTGCGGCTTGAACTATGTACCTACAGATGAAACGATACAACTATGGACATACATTTTTCTTCAATATCAAATCCTTAGTTACCAGACCTTGATGAAGATGTAAACGAAACATCGTATCCAACTTTGCAAGGTGAACTTACGTCAAAACTAACTGTAACAGTGGCACGTGTCGTACACGGTCAAGTTGGCTTCTTTCTTTCTCCGATTTAAATGAAATTTGGTATGTCGATAAATTGGACCAAAGTCAATTGTGACAGTTAGTGTCACTGTGACAGTTAGTTTTGAAGTAAGAAAGTCAAAAGTTGATGTCGTCCGATCGCGACGAAATTTAGAGGGTAGGCTATGTGAGCGACGGTGCACATGGCCCCACCCTGCAAAGTTGGATACAATATTTCGTTCACATCTTCATCAGAGTGGGACTAAAAATTTAATATTTAAGAAAAATGTGGGTCGATTTTGGCATAATTGAGGACGGGCTACAGGATTGGAGTTCTCAGACGGACAGACGAGACGGTCAGTTTAATACAACTTTTGTGAAAGTGAATCAAAATTATTTATTAATTTTTAATTTATTACTATTTCATCATTTCCAATAACACTTTTTAAGAAGTTTCACTTTATAGTACATACACAATTTCTTTTTATTTAAAGATTTCTACTTTTTTTATCTATTGACATAGAATCACCATAGAAGGTATATACTTGACTAATTCATAATAACATAATAACATACGTCAGAATAGAAAAATCAGATACCTACATCAGTTTGTTTTGTGAAAAATCTGTGCGTCATGACTTTTTTACTGTAAATAATATTTATACCCATTTTATACCTCTGTGGATTCATCTCTTGAAAAAAGTCCTTTGGGTATTTGGCCACTTGCACTGTAGGAAAACCTACAAAATAAAATAGTTATTTTTTGTTAACACCGCTGCTTTTTTTTTGATAATGTGATTTTAACAGAACATTAACGGTTTTTAATAAATGTATCTGCTAATACATGGCATTCGTCTATGCGTATCTGTTGAAAAAGTCTAGTTAGATATTTTAAATAGTTTTTTCTTTGTTCTTTGTTTTTTTTGCATTCAACGACGACGACAGGAGGAGATATATAAATCATGAAACGTTAAGTATTTTTAATCCGTTAGGCAAATTTGTCATTTAGTAAAATATCGCTGACAAGTTGCTCTGATCGTTGGATTAACGATGCGGTGTTTACAGAAAATAACTATTTTATTTTGTAGATTTTCTTTCAGTGCAAGTGGCGAAATACCCAGAGGACTTGTTTACTTGCTTTGACATTGTGCAAGATCTCTTTATCAAAATAAGACAAACATTCTGTGGTGGAAGGTGGAATGTATAAAGGTGCGTCCAGACATGAGGAGACGAGAGCGGGACAAGAGCGAGACTTCTTCTATCCATTTTTTGAGGAAAAAAACCAAACATATATTAAATTGTAATTGAATATAACAAACGATGGCCAAATAATAACACATACAGTAATACATTTTTGTATCTTTAACATGGTATTTGGTTCGTAATATTTTATTCATTGTCGGTTTTTTCTCCTTTTACCCTTTATTTGTTTCGAGAGAAGACGTATTTTACAAATTACGTTTTTAGCGTTTTCTTTCCATCGTGCTGTTTTTTAATATTCCATATCTCTCGAATTCCATAACACTAATTTTGCTCTATATAAATCTATGATTACCAACGGATCTTTTTTCTTCCGTCCAAGTCTCCATTTCAATATGCAATATGCACTAATATCAGAGCTAATATCTAATATCCGGCATTCGAGCGAGCCTACCACAAAACACGTCCAGACTGAGCCGCGAGTTTTTTTTTGATCGGCCGTCGAAAAACCGACAGGCCATCACCAGACCCGTCCACACTTAGCGGATTCGGAATGTCTCGCGCTGGTCTCGCTCTCGTCTCGTCAGGTCTGGACGCACCTCAAAGTGCATGATTAATATTTTGGTTTACTAACCGAGCAGTATCGCCGGCGCCGGTATATTGTGTTTGGATCATAGATAAAAATGATCTAAGATTAATTAATGATAATTGATTTAAATACCTTTCTGCTGTATGTTCCGTATATATTAGATTTTATGATATCTATTTAAGTACTATTTATGTAGTTCCTAAATGCCTCTGTCCTAAATAGACACATTTATTTATTTAACACCCCTAACATTATGAAACTTCGCCAATGACATCGTCAAATCTTGAAAAAAATGATTATACTATAAAGTCTTTGGTCAAATGGAATTATATATCAACAAAGGATTGTTTACATTTTATTTGTATATGTTGTGTCAAAATAAATCAATGTATTTGTTTAGTCTATATCTGCATGTCTTAGACGCCAACTTTTAGTGTCGATATATACTTTTTAATCGTTACTTTTTTATTCAACACTAAGTTACTAAAGTAAGAGTATTGATACATTGATGGTATCGTTTATCTACCAGTCGTCGTAAGGACTTCTTTGCTGCTCCTCGATATAAAGAGTGGGTGTAGTAATAACGAGTTTGCTATCCACTAGTTCTTGTAGCAGTGCTGGATCGCTACTTTCTCCTTTCCTAAGTCTGTAATGGGGTACAAAAGCCTTGACCTCATGACCTCTATTTAAAAAATAATCTACACAAATCTGGATGCCTTTGACTGAGAATTTTTCGTTTTCACCATGACTAAAAGAAAAAATAGCATACTGCTTTATTTTTTTAATATAATATCTAAATGTTTCATATTAAAGGAATAGCCTTTCCAGCAAGAGAATGACGTGATTTCTGCAGTTCATAATAAAGAAAGCAAGAAGGCAAAATATGGAGACACTGTATTGCTTTATGATATAGAGGGATCAGACAGAAGAATAAAATTAAAACAATAATTATTACAGCTTCGACAATACTAAAGTGTGTTTAAACAAGACAAAACCTAATTTTTCTTCAAACCAGTGCAGCTAAATAAATGCAAGTATTTTAAGAGATTGTAGATCTGAGCAAAAGAAATATATTTTTGAACTTTAAGCGCGATGGGAGTAAAAATTGAAGGCTGTGACACACGAGACGCGAGAGGAAAAGTGGTAACGATCATGGAGAGTCGTAACTCGGGCCCTGTGTTAGATATGGGGCTGAAACTCGGAATGTAGATGGGTCTCCAAAAGAACCATTTTTTTTATAATATTTGGACGACTTGTCGTGCACTACAAAACTCCATCATCAATTAATCAAATCAAAAAATCGTCGGATTTAAATAAAATTTGTTATGTCGATAGAATGGACCAAGGCCAACTTGACCGTGTACGACACGTGTCACTGTGACAGTTAGTTTTGATGCAAGAAGCATCAAAATTTGATGTCGAATTTGGTGGGTAGGCTATGTGAGCGACGGTGCACACGGTCCCACCCCGCAAAGTTGGATAAGACCGATACGACGTTTCTTTTACATCTTCATCATGGTGGGTCTAACGATTTGATATTGAAGAAAAATGTGGGTCGATTTCGGCATAATTGGGGACGAGCTACAGGATGACGCTGTCATCAACATGCAACACAAAGTGCATTTTTTTAATTTTCCGGAAAATGTTAAGGATAATTTAATTTTCAACCGTATACAAACCTGGGGTCTTAAAATACTTGCAGTTCTTTAAGAGACGCCTTGCATATGTCAGTAAAAATCGCTAAAATTGTCCCTGAGGACCAGCGGATGACTCATTCATTACATCCAAAAAAATGGCGTTTAACATCACAAATTCTGTTGCAGCCCGTCTATGGGCGTTACATGTCCTTGTATTCTTTAGTCATGGCCCATTACCGTTTACGTCGATTGCATTGAAATAATATTAAAATCGTGACTTTGTCATAATATTTGAGTATTTGATTTTTTCCTAGTGCAGTTAGTTATTGAAAATATAAAACACTCAAGTACCTACGGGGTTTGTGTGATGTAACGCAGTTTGGGGTAACATAGGTGAAAAAGGACCCGAACTAGGCATCATGTTATGTTGTAACAATTTAAAATGTTAATAAAACTGCCGAAAAAATGTTAACGCGTAAAGAAAGGCGTAATTAGGGCATTGTTGGGTGCAACAACACTCAATAACTCAACTTTCTCGGATATTCAACTCTCCTGAAACAACATTTTATAGCTTCACAGTTTCTCTCACCGATTAGATTAAAAGCAAAAATGGATTCAAGCAGTTCGACGAAACAAGTGAGTAAACAAAGTGCCCATTACATAATCAAAAAATTAAATAGACATACTATGAGAGGATAAAATATAATTTCCAATATTAGTGGTATATTTTTTTAATCAACTAGTGCTTAATTTTTTTTGTGAATATCTCCTAAAATTACAAGCATAATATATCTTCAAAAAATTTCGTTATAGCCGAAATAGCCCAATTTATGTCCCCACTAGCAAAACCGGTGCGCAAAACTATGCTCGCTACCGTAGTTGCTAGGTACATCTAAAAAGTTTTATTAGCTTCAATATTAATTTATAATACAAGATAGACCTTTTTTATGGAATTTTTACGAATTATACTTCCTAACACTTTTAGAATAATTATATAAAATTTTTTTCGTATACTTGCTATTTAAACCCGTGTATTTGTATATACCGATTGTTTACGATATTCTCCGATTGTGGCAGCACCAGCAGAGAATGCACCAAACCTATAATCAATTTTCTAGCCCAAAAACCCTTGCGGACGTGTTTCTGGAGTAAGTAGAACTATACTTACTACAGGTTAAAATACTTACAATTATTTGAGAGACACCCTATATTTACTTACCAATAAGCTACATTACTGCCATCTATATACACAGGCCTTAATCCAGACTTTTTCTTGGTGATTTTTGGACAGTAAAAGTTTTTTCCGTATTTCTGAATGTTTTCCTCGATAGATGTTGATGCCTCATCATCTGTCGTTTCTTCTTTCGTATCTTTTAAACGCATACGCTTGGTTTTAGGCTCATCACTGTTATCCATTTTTCTTTTTTTACCTATTCTTGATCTTTGTGAGTTATCTAAAAAAAAATGTTTTTTGGCAAAGTGCCAAAATTCAAAAATACTTTGGTTTTGGGGCGGGATACCTTTTAACATCTTCAGAATATGTCTCTTTAGTTTTTCCTTTTCTTCTAAGAGCTTGTCATCGTCTTTCACCATGATTTTGAATAGAAAAAAATATTTTATATGAAAGTTTGTATCAATGAAGTTATAAGGGGTTATATAGTAATCATTGTCATATATGACATTTGTAGACAACACATAGTGACATGGTTGGATATGGTTCTATAATCCCGATATATTCTTTTCATACATAAATGAAATGACTCTTTGGCTACGATCTTTGAATAAAAAGGCTAGGTACTATAAATAAAAACGTCACATAACGAGATCTGTATTCTGAAAAGTATTTAAATTATATTATACTGTTTTTTTCTCAGGTAAAATTTCGACAGACGATGACAGAAAAAAAGCAGATGACTTCCATACCAATCCACTTATTTCACTAAAAAAGTTTCTAATATTTTTTAAGTTAACTATGGATAGGTTTATAAATAAATCCGTCATGGTATCGTCTCTTATTGTTTTTAACAAGTTTTATTGGTTTATTTCAAATAGTTTTTTCAAGGTTTGATGCCTTTGATGGAACGATGAACGACAAAAGGACGCCGATGCGTATGAACTCGACTTACGATTTTTGAGCGTTGTCAAACTCTTGCCAAATTATAGGTTACAATTTTCTGTCAAATTATGTCAAAAAGAAATGATAACTATTTTGCATTTTGCACTTTGGACTGTGTTATTACGTGTGTTTCGTGTTTTTTAAAATTAAGTTTAGTACTGCAGAGAGATAATTTCAAAAGGTACTGGTTTAAAAAAATTAAGATTAAAGTTAATTAACCAACTTTTAAGGTATATAATTCAATATGTGTATTATTAATAAAATATTTTGTTTTATTTCTGTTGTGTTTTATTTATTCCTTTGCAATATTATTTTTTATATTTGTACATAAGTTATATTGATAAATGTAATAGTAAATGCAGGAAGTTGCTTGAGCTTAAAAGTAAGAAATCTTTTTTATATTTTTTTTGGTATGTGGTGTTTCATTTAAAATACACCCTTGCTTGTTTGTATTAACACATACTTTATTTTTTTTTTGAATATAATAACTCGATTAGATTTTTCAGTTTTGTACATTTTTTTCTCGATATTTTGAAGTAATCACTTGTCACTCAAATGTTAAATATAAATATATTAATTTTCTGCTATGTGTTCCAATTGTACCAAAACTTATTTCTTTGTAAAATAAAGTAAACTACTTTGAAATTAAAATGACAGACACATCTATCACTGTCGAGGATTTTGTCGTTGGAGAGACTATAGTTAAATAATAGAATATTATTTTCTTTTATCTATGAGTTAAATTAACCTTTGAACTTGGGGATATTGAAAAAAATGTGGACAAAAAGAAATAAAATTGACTTTAATCAAATATAGCAAAATTGATTTATATATCAAACAAATCGAAATTACCACAATAATTCTGAATAATTTATACGAAATTCATTGGATTCAATGAACGTTTGTATCAAGATATCTTTGGTTTATATTACACACACAAAATGACTATAATATAGTTCAATGTTAAAAATGAAGCCAGACAAAGTGAACCCGCAGCAACCCCAAAAGCATTTGAGAAAAATTCTTGAAACCGTAAAATTATTCATGCTATTATCGAATATTTTAGGTTTAATATATTTCACTGTTAATAAATCCACAGGAAAATTACAAGAATCTTTTAAAAAAATGTCTGTTTTATATACTTTGATATATTTGGGATTGTACTCATATTTAGGGATTAAAATTTGGAAGAACAGAATGAATTATATTCCCGTTTTGTTTGCGCATAATTGGACAGTTACTATTTTTATTATGATCGTCTTTATTAGTGTGTTTTTAAGAGTTATTTTAGCTTTTTTCATGAGAAAAAATCTGGCTCATTGGTTAAACGTACTCAGCAATTACGATGAGTTATTTTTTAATTCTGGCAAGACATTTTGAATATAAAATATAGAGAATATACCCTACAGGTGATTTTTAGGATACTATGTCGATTACAGATCGATAAAATGTTCGATAAAGAAGCTACAAATACCTGCATTGATAATGTATCTGGTTAAGGTGGTTATGTTTAATTTGGTAAACTATTCAGAGATATCGTCATTACTATTTATCGTACTATTCGAAGCTATGAAGAGTATCATGAAATATTTTGGAATATGTCTGATGATTCATTTGGAACAACGTTTCATCACTATTAACAATGCAATCGTAGGAATGACAAATAGAAAAATGTTACCGGGTACCTACATTGAAGTCTATTCACACTGCAAAAATTAATTTCTTATCTTCCAAAGTTTTATCGTTGATTGAAAGAATTGGGAAGATGAAGATGGGCAACCTAATTGGTAACTCGTGACAAAGCTGATTTGATTTACCCTTACATTTCAAGTGCTGTACGGTGGAGACACTAATCATTCTGCGGTCAACGCTTAAAACACATATTTTCTATAATTCTGCCAGTGAAGGCATATCGAAGACGGTGTGGATCTGGTAGCGATAGTGTTGCCATATTAAAATGTGTAATGTATGTAATTCGTTTGATGAAAATATCTTTGGATGAAAAAACCGCGTTTATGTATTGAAAATGTATTTATATTAAACATCGAATAAACAACAAACATAAAAATTCTTTCATAGGTAGGTACTGAACATGTCTAGTTGGCTTGGAAATGAGACGATTATTGATATTTACCATAATATTTTACATATGAAATAACTGCAATCTTCATTTCCAAGCCAATTCTGGCGCCCGTTCTTTGTTTAATAATAATATTATATTTTATATATAAAATATATAATATAATATATATATATATATATATATATATATATATATATATATATATATATATATATATATATATATATATATATATATATATATATATATATATATATATATATTAATATTATATTATATTGTTTCAGTGGCGCATCTAGAGATTGATTCTGGGAGGGGTAGTGTGAATATTCAAAAAAGTACTAAATTTGAATTAAATTTTTGCTGGAAAGTATTGTAACTGTGGAAAAAATCTACTTGGATTGGTTTGGATATTCTGTTTTAATTTGTATTATTAACTTTTTTGTAAAAATTTTATTTTATACCAAATTTTATCTTATTAATTAATTTCTTTCTGGGAGGGGTAATTGTATAGGACTTGTTTCTCTCTACAATTTCCTGTTTCACAATGTACTGTTTGTGTCCGGGAAGGGTTCATAGTTTCATAGTTGTCGATTTTCGAAAGAAATCAGTACATGTATATTATTTCGTATATTTTTCATTTTATTGGTTTTATGGAAAGCACTGTTCATTAAAATGTTGTATCCTATGTTATAGGGCTTGTTTCTCTCTACAATTTCCTGTTTCACAATGTACCGTTTGTGTCGGGCAAGGGATCATAGTTTCATAGTTGTCGATTTTCGAAAGAAATCAGTACATGTATATTATTTCGTATATTATTCATTTTATTGATTTTATGGAAAGCACTGTTCATTAAAATGTTGTATCCTATGTTATAGGGCTTGTTTCTCTCTACAATTTCCTGTCTCACAATGTACCGTTTGTGTCCGGGAAGGGTTCATAGTTTCATAGTTGTCGATTTTCGAAAGTAATAATTAAAATAAATTAATTTCTTTTTGGGAGGGGTAATTACCCCCATTACCCCTCCCGTATATGCGCCCCTGTATTGTTTAATCATAGAACATCCGTACGTACTGCAGCAACCACTTACTCTGTCGACTGAGGGTGCATCCACACTACCTATATCCTAAAAACGGCGTATCGGCGTAACGACCTTGAATCGATTTCCAGCAATTCTATTGGCTGAAAAATTCATCTGTCAGAAATTTTATCTGTCAAATTTATCTGTCAAAAATTTTAGCCAATAGAATTACTGGAAATCTAATCGCGCGCCGTTACGCCGATACGCCGTTTCTAGGCCAGTATGTATGCACCCTGAGAGACTACGGTCACAAATTACCTATAACTATGGTCTGTTACGGGCAATGACTAAAGAATACAAGGACATGTAACGCCCATATACGAGCTGCAGCAAAATTTGTGACGTTATACGCCATTTTTTTGGAAGCAACGAATGGGTCATCAGCGAAAACTTATTTTTAATAGTTTTTTTGTGTAGTGAGCTTTGTATAAATTTTATTAACAATCGTAATTTGTTCAGTTTTCAAGTGTTAAAAACGCAATGATAAGAAAGAGCCAGGTGAGAAATAAACAGTACACTCCACCGTTTTTTATTGAATTTGATAATTATTTTTTTGATATTACCTATATGTACTTAATATGTGGTATACGGCGATACTAGTTTTGTACCTTTTGTTAACATTTCAATGCGTTTTTTTCGTAATTAATTAGTATCATACCGCATATACCATAGGCGTAGTCAAAACATTTATCAAGAATATAAATACCGCTGCAAGCAGCTATGTTAAGAAAAATATGTGCCACGGCACTGTTTGGAAGAATGGTAACAGTTTAGTCTCGGGTGTTATTTGTCCTTGTATTCTTTAGTCATTGGCTATGGTGCAGTATTCCTTATCAGCGCGCAGCGGCGCAGAGCTGAATTAAATCTCGGAATTCTCGGACAGGCTAACGGTAACGCCAGCTAAATCTCGGCCAGGTTTTGTGTCACGAAATCGTCCATAAGGTTGCGCATCTTCTTATTGCTTCAATTAACGGTTTTATGATAATATACAGGGCGTTTCTTTCTTTTAGGTCGGCATATAGTACATCATTTATATACATTGTCTAGTTTGCATTATAAACTATGCCACTCAGTTAAAGAACTCAGCTATATACTGTCAGTTGAACTTTTTCTCTCACACGGACTCTGTATGGTGTTTTTATTCTTTTTCTGCTGTAATTTTTACTATATTTTGGGGGAAATTTTACTGGAAGGTATAGAAATAATTATGATCTTTATATTCTTTATCATACCTGTTTTATTCAGATGGCACTCAGATGCAAAAAAAAGCAACGAAAACATTTTTGGTCTAGTTTTTTTTTAAATCAATTTATTATAAACTTTAGTATTTGGCTTATTATACAGGGTTAATCGAAGAGTTCTTTTTTTACCCTATCTTTAAAATACCTTGGGGTGTAATAATTGCGTGAGCAAATTTTCCTAAAACATTATTTTTCAGTCAGAACCATGTCAGAAGGTTGTCGATGAAGCCATTTGGGCTTTTTGTACAATAAAGCGTTGTTTGTTTGTTTGTCTTTAATATTTTGTTTTTTGATGTCATGTCAACAGATGTCTTGGTTAATTTTTTAAGAGTAAAATGAACTTGACATAAACATTTTGCAATTTTTTCAATTATCTATAGGTACATTTTGATGATATTCTTCATAATGACGAGGGTGTTTTAAAATTAGGATAAAAAACAGACCTTCAATTAACCCTGTATAATAAGCCAAATATTAAAGTTTATACAAAAAACTGAGTTTATGAATTAAAGTTGATAGATTTATATACAGTTTGCTAAAAAATCATGAACATAGAGCTAAATGTACAAAAATTTAAATTAACACTTTAAACTTTAAACTTAGCGAAAAAATTCTCCGTTGCATTTTTTTGCATCTGAGTGTATTTTATCTAAAAATTTTATTGTAGTTAGTGTCAAAAATCTAACGTTGGGATTCTTTACTATTGTTGCTTTAATTGACGAAGTCTTTGAAATAGTCTTTCTGACTACTGTATTTACAAATGTTTGTCAAACGGTAGGTATTTAGAAAATGCCATTGGAATGATTAAAATAATTTTAATATTTTTGTATTGCGATTTTTGTCATCTAAGAATATCGTCTAGATTATTTTGTAGGCAAAGGAGATTCCTAAGTACTTGCATGAACTTAGAAACAACCTTCAAAACAATATTATCGATAATGAGGTGATTTTAGACGTTTAAAAAGTATTACTAATCGATTCTACTAATTGTTTTTCTCGATATTTTTGCAGATAAGAACAATATCACTACGATTTCTGCATCAAAAGTTGTTTTTAAGTGTTTGGGGATTTTTTTCTATAAATTTTTCTGTGATATACTCGGTAAGTCCTTTAAATGAAATAGTTCAAGTGCAATTACATCCGAGACGCTTATACAGAGTGTTTTTTAAATAAGTGCTAGTATTTTAACTGTTAATGTAGTTTGGCGCGAGAAAATTGTCCATGAAGTTTTTTTGCAAAAAAAATTATTGTTAAAAATTTTCTTTTTTCTTGACATTTTACAAAAAAAAATACAAAGAAAATTTGTGCTGCAGGTTTCCATTGCTGCAATTTTCCGGAAATTTCTGGGCGGTGTATTGAAACCTTGCATTGTTGCCAAACCCAGCTTCCTGCGTTGCCTACATTTTTCATATTTATGCAATTATAAATTCATAGATTTTTTTATAAATTCACAGTTATTTTGTAAGTCGTCATAAAGTTTAGTGAATATTTTCTTGTACATGTTGCAGTATACGGGGCGTTGAATAAGGGCGGCTGGTTGCCGGTTGAAGCCGGCGGTTTTCAAAATATAAAAACAGTATTTTGTTTTAAATTTTCAAATTTAATTAAAAAAACTATTAAAAATGGTAAATAGATAAAATATAAAATATGTTTTATTTTATGAGATCTTATGTACAGGGTGGGTCAAATTCGACGCTTTTAAATGGAAACAACCTTTCCTATAGACAAAAACTGCTATCGGTGTCTGGAGCTCAATTTTTGTCAAAAACATGATGGTGAAAATCGCATATCGATATCTGTTACCGTTTCGGAGTTACGGGGTGTTTTTCAAAAATATGCATTGTTAACAAATGGCTGTAACTTTTTTGCTATGGAAAATTTTGTATTTGAAAACATTTCCAAAGCACCTTTTTACGTAGAATTTAATGGTTTAAGTATAATTTTTTTAAAAGTAATAATTCAAGAATTATCAACAGAAAATTTGATTTTTTATATGGGACACCCTGTATATTTTTAATTTATTGAAAAGAATATAAAATTACCTTTCCAAAAATATAACACACTTGATATTTTGCTCGATTCCTCTTCGAGTTATAAAAGAGAGTCTCTTAGAGTATATAAAAATTCCACGCTTTAAATAAGTAGGCTTTGAACGGCACCGGCTGTAATGCAAAAAAAATTTAGATGTGAGCATCAATTAAAACGAAAATAATATTTGCTATGAGAGATGCAGAATTTTATTATACTCGTAATATAAAATATATTTAACCAACATCAACACATTTAAACTATATTTAATAACAATAAAAATAAATAGCAAACCAAGACATGAGATTTTGCTACAGGTTCGAAATATCGACCGTCTTCTGTTATGGACAGACGGGGCAGTTTTTGAACATTTCTCGCGGATTTCATTAACTCAGTGGGGGCGAAAGATACCCTCTCATAACTGCTAAGTATTTCTAATTCTTGTCTAGATTATACGGAAGAATAAGAAACCTTTATTCTTCCGCAAATATATCCATAGGATTAGATCCATGGGCACTAAGTCAGGCGGCCTCGACGGCCAACGGCTGGGATCCTGGTTAGCTATTCAATTATTCTTGAAAATGGCTACAAAAATTTGCTGATAACTTCAGCGTTCAGAGGCTGTGCGTCGTCTTGCTGGAAAATATGTTTTCGAGTTCCATTAAGGGCATATCATCAATAAGGGGTCCAAAGCCTACTAGTTAAAAGTGGCGAATTTTTAAAAATTTTGTATTTCGAAGGGGATTATAACAAAATATAAAGTGTGCTATATTTTTGGAAAGGTAATTTTAAATGCTTTTCAGTTAATTAAAAATATACAGGGTATCCCAAATAAAAAATCAAATTTTCCGTTGATAACTCTTAAATTATTAATTTAAAAAAATTATACTTAAACCATTAAATTCTACGTAAAAAGGTGCTTTGGAAATATTTTCATAGAAATACAAAATTTTCCATAGTAAAAAAGTTACAGCGATTTGTTAAAAATGCACATTTTTGAAAAACACCCCGTAACTCCGAAACGGTAACAGATATTGATGTGCGGTTTTCACCCTCATGTTTTTGATGAAAATTGAGCTCCAGACACCGATATTAGTTTTCGTCTATCTCCTATAGAAAAGGGTGTTTCCATTTAAAAGCGTCGAATTTGACCCACCCTGTACATTGTTTTTTGAAAAACAAAGCTCTAAAGCTTGATTTTCATGCGTCCGTTATCCGTTGATACGATAGTCCGACAGCGCTCTGATTGGTCGCGACACTTCTTATCCGTAAACTTTTTACTCACTCGTCAACGGAGAGAGATCGTAAGATAACGGCCGTTTTGACACTTTTTTGACAAATTTAATCTAACCTTAATAGAAATATAATAGTACAAGAGCATAGATAAAAGACTTACAATATTAAAGTACAAGCATTTTAAGAAAGCTGGTTCTTTAACATATCTTTTGCTATGCTCTCCTGACCAAAGTGCTGGAAATCTGGCCGCTGGTAGTCTACTGCGATTCACTACTGCGCATCACATCTGTACAGGGTATCATTTTCATGTGCTTTATGCGATTTCTGGTTTATGCGTAGAGATACAATGATGCGATTTTCACATTACTTTGCTACTTTTTTATGAAACTAAATATACTACACATATGTTTGTCCTAGCCTCCTTAGTTCCTGAAATACAGTGCAAATTTTTATTGCGCAGTAATGAACAAATGTTGAATACAGATACAGTAATACGGATACAGTAATTTTCTATCCAATCGAAGTCTTTAAATTCAACCAATAAAATTAATATAGTATCATGGTATCGTCAGATAACGGATGCATGAAAATCAACCTTTACACGCTTAAACACAAGGTCCGGAACTTTTGTTAAGCTTTTGTTTGTATCCATGTTTCATTTATCTATGATCCATTAATACCACAGAATTCCACTAACGCTAAAGGGGCCCCTCACTCCTTCAACTACGACTTCGCCCCCAACACACACTTTCATACCACACCTCGTATTCACACACGATCAAAAAATATTCTACGTTTTTATCTTCACCGGAAGTCCATAAGAAATACACGGGGCTTATCGCTGATTTCCCCCATTTATTATCTACTCATTTGTGTTTGTGGATAAAATATTATATGACATTCGTGTTTTATTTGCATTTTAACCACTTAAGAAAATTAAATTGTTTATGGATAAAATGCTTCTCAAAATACTTTTACAGGGTGTTTCAAAAAACATGTGCCATCTCTCGTGGGGATTCCTCAAGTAAAAATAAGATTTATTTTTCATATCACCATGGGTTCGTTTCGTAACACCGGAGGTTAGTCTTTTTTTTTCAATTTATTATACAGGGTGTCCCAGAAATAAGTGCAAGTATTTTAACTGGTAGTATAGTTCAACCCCAGAAACACGCCTATGAGGGTTTTTTCGCGAAAAAAAAAATTGAGAATTCAAAATTTTTTAAAAAGCTTCTTGGATTTTTTTTAATTTTTAGTTAAAAAGCGTAATTTCTTGATAATATGGCAACATAGGTATTAGATTAAATTTACAGCAAAGAAAATTCAGAAAAGATCCAGTGGTTCTCAAAATTTTAGCAAAAAATCATTTTTTTTTGGAAATTTTCAAAGTAAAATAACTCCGTTATTTTGGACTTATTTGTAAAACTATAAAGAGAAAATATGTTTCTTTTATTGAGATCTACCACCCCTTAAAATACTTGCACTTATTTTTGGGGCACCCTGTATATAACCTAACCAGCTAAAAAAGTGTCGACATATTCACCAGCGACGTGCGTATAGGTTAGTTATCATTGGAATATTTTTCTAAAAAAAATGTGTACCACTGGCTTTTGCATAATTTGAAGGAAAATCATAATAAATCGAAAAAAGATGAAAACTTAACCCCCTGTAGCTACGAAAAAAAGCAGAATCAGACTTATGTTAATCTGAAAAATAAATCTTATTTTTTCGAGAGGAATCACCCCACGGGAGGTGGCACATGTTTTTTGAAACACCCTGTATAATAAATAACTATTATTTAATTTTAGATGTTTGGTACTTTGATTACTTATCTGGTCATCTTTATACAGTATGACCAAAAATTATCTTCTCTAGGAATGTCTATTACTTATTGACATAGCAACTATTTTTGTAAGATACACTATACAGCTAAATAAAGCTCAATATTTATTTTAAAAATATGGTTTTTATTAAACTTAAGCTAAAGCACATTCGGGTCAAATCAGCTACTAGTGTATTTACAGATAAAGTATAATTTATATTCGCAGGATACTGCTTGCCACAGAAGGGGCTGCGAAGTACCGTAAAAATTGCCCAGTCTGATGCAGGAGCCCTTGCCTTCGCTTCCGTAGTCCCTGGGTTGCCCTGTGCCCCAGTTGGTGTAGATCACCCTGCGAGCTGAGTCTGACCAATACCAATCACCGGATACGTTTTCGGCTACACCACCTAACCAATAACCCTCTAAAAACGTAAATAAAAATGTTTAATTTTAGAAAAATGTCAGTGTCTTTTGTAACAGTCTGTTGCATCGTCGACCTGAACATAAGAAATCCCCGAGGACTATACCGGGTGCGTCTCAAAAGTGGCTCACCCGTATTAGTTTTTTATTTTTTCAGATAAAAAACGAGATTTGGTATGTTAGTATATGACATAAATTAGGATTGATTCAGGTATTCATAGTTTTTGGTCACTTCTTGTTTCACCGGAAATGACTACAAATTTTGATTTTTAAATGGCACACTCGGTATTTTTTTACTTTATTAGATAGAAAATGACACTCTGAAAAGTATGACATATCATATATGTCAACTTTTTAGATTCTCGCTTAATAAGAAATCGTATTTAAATTTCAATCTAGAGTGCCATGGCTGATGTGTTAAAAACAACAAACAAACAGTCAAATTTTCTTTACATTTATCACCATGGCACTCTACATTGTAATTTAAAATGCTATTTTTTTAATTGAATGTGTCAAAAGGTCAAAAGTTGACATATGATATGTTATTCTATTCAGAGTGTCATTTTCTATCGAATAATATAATAAAGTAACAATTACCGAGGGTGCCATTTAAAAATCAAAAGTTGTAGTCATTTCCGGTGAAACAGGAAGTGACCGAAATAAACTGAATATGTCAATCATTCCTAATTTATGTCATTTACTAACATACCAAATCTCGTTTTTTTATCGTATTTTTTAAGTTATAGGGGTGAGCCACTTTGAGACGCACCCGGTATATATTTTAGAGGACTGTTAGATCGTGTCAAATCGTCGTCATGTATGCTTACGTCACTGAGAGACCTCTGCTTGTCCGTCAAACGTAAAGCCTCTCCACAAAAAGTATAATTTTTACTCCTAATAAAACAATTTACTATTTTTGACTTTTACCACAGAATATCTAGCTACGTAGCTAGATATTCTGTGCTTTTACTTACTAAAGTTAGGTATTTTTTGTACTAAACTACAGGAAGTTTAAAAAATACCTTTTTCTTTTTCATCCTCTCTTTATGGTATGTTTCAAAATATTGATTCCAGTTATTAGTTATTATTTAATTTTTATTTTAAACATTGGTGACGGTTTAGTAAGACCCCCAAACGATTACTGATACACCCATAACGGTAAACAATAGGCATGCAATAGGAATGCTCTATTTGAGCTTTATATCTTATATAATCCCATAGTCTTTTCCTTTCGGCTTTGAATAAGAAGACTAAGGAAGGAGCATATCAAAGATCTTAGGTACACCGCGATGGGCCTCAAATATGGCCGACTTAAATTCCGGTTTATCAGTGTCGTTCTAATTTTATTTAAGAAATGTAAAACTATGATGTAGGGTAGACGTGGGGTAGACTCAATAATTTGTTGTTTTATTTTACGTTGTGAATAAATGTTGGTAGTTATTAATATTGTTATAAAAATATATAATTCTAATAAAAATAGATAAGTTATAATAAGTATTTATTAACACAAACATCCGATACGCTACTGAAGCAGGTAAGTCAAATTAACGTATCTAAATTCTTTGACATCTAATCTTTGACAAGTAATAAATAAAAGCTAAAATGCAAGAAAAATATATAATTTAGTTAATTTAAGTGAATTTCATAAATGATACTACACGTATGTATATTATATAGTCACTTACTAGCGAAAAGGCTACTTGTTCCATTATTTCACTCAATTTTTGCCGAGATCTACCGCACGCTACACAACCAACTATTTTAGAGTCTTTTTCGATAAATCGCGATAGTGTCACTGTTAATTTAAGTTCTGCCACAATTTCCATCTAGATTTACTACCTTTATACAACTATCAGTAGTAGAATAAATAATAAATAACATAAAATAAGCTCCGTAAAGACTGACAAATCCACAAAATTTCAAATCCAATTCAAATGTGTCAAATGAATCGTCAAACAGAACTGTCAACGATCCCCACCCTAGAGTGCTTTTATGGTGCTTTTTCCGCCCACCATGCATGAATACATGGATAGCATTATGCTCCTTATTCCTTAGTCTTCTTATTCAAAGCCTTTCGGAAATTAAATTAGATTTTTTAGTAACAACACAGCTATTAGTACACCAAAAATTAGCATGCATCGGTGGCCTTGCATTCTATCTTTATGAATAATAGAAAAGAAAAAGATATTTAATGTAATAATCAAACATAATAAATTATAAACTTACTTTTACAACTCAATAAGATTTACCCTAAAATCCTCAAATAAATAACTGTATATAACTGTATAAAACATTTAGCGCGAAATGCAACTAGGTCCCTAGATGACGTAGAAAAACTGACAGTAGAGGAAGTATAGGGATCGAACTATCCGTATCTCTATTATAGTATCGTTGGGAAATCCCATGTAAATTTTAAAACAATTTAAAGGGGTCCATAAAATGAATTTATATGAAGTCGTTTTTGAGCTACGAGTGATACAAAAATACTAAATTAATTGCAAAAATAATCCGGTCTTGATTGGAATAATTAAATATTACACCTTTAAATTAAATTTTTTATTGTTGTCAAAAATAAAATAGACATATGAATTTTACAACTAAAGAAAAAAATTAGTTTAGTGATATGATCTGATATTATGGTGGAAATAGTGTACAGCCTGTAAAGTATTTATTTTCTGTACAATTTCCAAATATGCCAGGGCCAGAACAATAATTATTAAAAACTATAAATATCAAAAAAAAATAATTCTGACAGGAACAGTTATTAAATACTATAAATATAAAAAGAAGAATAATATTGATAAGAATCATCGACCGAATAGTCCTGGCAACTCAGGCCGTAAAACTAAAGTACTACTACTAAAACTCATCGAAAAACAATAAATTAAAATGAATTAAATATTGTGTTGGCTGGATGGAGAGTGAAAAGCAAGTAAGTACCAGAACGCTTGGAGAAATAGTCGTACCGTAATCGTACCACTGCTCTTGGCAAACTTTGAAGAAGCATAATATGGAATTCTGCAGAAGTCTATTTCACCTGGATATTCATTTAACTGCGCATGCCTTACCTGAAGAAGTTTTCATTGCTCAGTGTTTTTAAAGGGAAGTGGTTGACTGACATTTCACCTAACCTTCAATTTCATTTATATTTTTTTTATTATTTATAATACATTATCATGGAGTTGGAAAAATATCAAAAATAGTTGAAAACAATAAACTAAACACAATTACTCTTTTACGCGCACAAATAAATAGTAATCCAAACAGAACCAAAACAACAATCAATCGGAGTTTGGCACAACCGCAGTTAAATCGATATTCGGGTGATAGTGAAATAGACTTATGCAGCATTAGTATTATTTATGGAGCGGATTAATATTATGGAGTTATGTTGTCTTTTTCTTACGGCACGGAAACAGCACACGGGGTTAAATAAGGAACTGATGACTCAAGGAAGGGCTAAATAGGGAACCCTGAGTATATTTTAGGTATATGTATATATGGGTGAAGAAAGCAGGGCAAATTTTCTCCTTTAATAATTAACAAGTACTTAATTAATTTTGTGAATTCTTTATTGTTTAATAAATAAATCTACTTTTGAAGAATCAGTGTGTTTACTTATCTACGAAATATATTTGATTTTTTAAAAATTCTAGGTATTAGGTATGTTTACATTGTATACTTTTCGTAACTTTTCATAGAGAATATAACTTATATTTTTGGCAGATCTGCAGAAGAAAATAATAATAGATTTGTCATATTGCGTGACATAACTTGTGATTGTTATGTTTGCTTGACCAGGACCGGACTATTTTAAATTTTACTTTAAATTTTTTTAACTCTCATAATTCAAAAACGAATTCGTATAAATTATTGAAATTGAACAATTTGCTCCATTTTAAGGAGTTCTTCTAATGAAAAATATGTTATTTTTTATCCAGATCTACCACGCTTTAAAATATTTACACTTATTTAAGACACACCTTGTATAATAGGTAGCGACAGCTTAGTTATACCTAGTTATCTCTTGGTTTGGTCTAACCAAGTTATATAGCAGAAGCTGATTGGACTACTTAGATATACTCGTACATACTTACCACCATCACCAGTAGCTGAACCTACTGTAGTATTCAACTCGGCCTGTTCTGCTGCAGTAGTCACACTAGCTAAGTCCATACCACCTGTTTTGCAGTTTATCCATGCTCCTATAAACGATTTCTGCATCGCAATATGAAAATGCCAATCAATCAATAAAATAATAATTCAACAAACAATAAAACATAAAAATACAAATAACGATACAATAAGAAACCAACAGGTAATAATACAAAAATAGTGTTCAACAAGTTTATTATGTACATATTAACTAAAAAGAATACCTTGGTGGTAGAGACATAATAACTAGTTGAGGCGCCCAGTGGAACCAGATCGTTGGGATACGCAGTGGCGCAAAATGCAAGAACCAGAACTCCAATTACGCACTTCATTTTGAATGGTTTCCTTCACTCTGTTCGAAATCGTTTTGTTTTGATTTTTATACATAGGTATTGAGATAAGAATAAAACAAATACTTTATTTTCGATTGGCAGGTTTTAAGATATTAATCGGATAAGCAATTTCTGAGAAGTGTATGAATAGTTTAAAGGCCTGTGGCTTAGACTCAAGTATCATGATATAATTAATGATTTATATAGGTGGTGATTATTAGTTTAATTTTTAAATTATTTTCATGTTCATTAACACCATAATAAAGTTAAATTTGTCCAGGAAAAGTGCATTAAAAAAAAATTTTTTTTTTCATCACTTAATACTTTCCAACTTTCCATCGTACAACATTTCCTTGTCTGGATTTGATAAAAAACATAGTCTCGTAATGTCTAAGGATGCATCCATACCATCCTAGAAAAAGCGGTTCGGCGTATCGGCGTTACGACCTTGAATAGATTTCCAGTAATTCTATTGGCTGAAAAATTCATCTGTCAAAAATTTCATCTGTCAAATTCATCTGTCAAAAATTTCAGCCAATAGAATTCCCGAAATCGATTCAAGGTCGTTACGCCGATACGCGCACCGTTCCGTTTTTTCTAGGATGGTGTGGATACTAACTATGGATGCACCCTACGTGCACGTTTATTATAAAAAAACTGTAGTAGCACTTAACTTGTAAATAAACAACTGTGATATTGTGGAATTGAAATTTATGAAGCCGATTCTGATTATATATTTTTTTAATTCTGAGATAGATTCTGAGTTATTAAGATTTATTGATACAAAATTGTTATTTATGCAACTAGTTGGGAAACATAAGAAGATGCGCAACCTTATGGGCGAGTTCGTGGCACAAAACCTGTCCGAGATGTAGCTGGCGTTACCGTCAGCCTGTCCGAGATTTAGTTTAGCTCTGTGCCGCTGCGCGCTGATGATAGTTGTTTACAGCGCGGCGGATAAAGAATACTGTTTCTATATACCGATCCCAGGCATCCTGGACTGTTGTTCGAGGTATACCCAGGGTATCGGACACATAACGTTGACTTCGGCCATCCTCAATTAAAGCCATAATACGAGCAATATCGGTCACAGATAATTGAATTTTTTAATTTGACAACCGTTGTTGTCATATTGCAAATACTCATAAATCCATTTTCGCCTATGTCGTCTTGATTATCTACACATAAAACTTTCTGCATGCGAAGCATTTTTCCGAGACGTTCGTTTTAAAGCAGCGTATCTCCAATACAAACAGAGATAATGTCGTGATTAAAAAAATAAAATGCTCACAAAAGATGAGGCTACAATGTGATTTGATTTAGCAATAGCTACTATAGTAGCTGCACCCTACAGCGTGTTACAAAGTTCGCGCAAAAAACTTTGTCTTATTGATGTGCCCTATATATGCTCAAAATAAATTCGGAATAAACATTTCTGACGTAGCAATCGTAGCATCCTTTAAGAAGGAATTAATTTACAATTTAAAATCATCAAAATCTAACGAGTGGTTTGCGCGAAATCCAACTATGAAATTTTGACTAATTTTTAGTGGCCGGTTTTTTTGCCGGTGAGTTTATAAAATATAATACATTTTTTTTATTAATTGGTAACTGGTAGTAATAGGTAATTAGTGTTTACATCTGGTTTGTATATTTGGGGTATTTTCGTTTTGTACAGTAAGGATGGTCTATTTATATTTTTTTGTCATCTGAGCTCAAAACCAAGTTGTGATACGTCGTTGTAAAAAGAATTGGAGAAGTTGATTCCAAATATCCCTAATAATATTTCCCATATAATTTTACATATAAAATGACAGCGATCTTCATTTCATAGCCATTTCTGACGCCATTTTTGAATTCTTCAGAGTAAATTCTGAATGTCGTTTAAACTTAAATTGCTTTCAGAATTTACTCTGAAGAATTCAACCTTCTTGTTTTATTTAACTGAATTATTTGTTTGAAATAGGGCATACATTATTTCATTTTGATTAGATATTAAGTTTATTTTTTAAAAATTGTTAATGGATTTCTTGAGTATGTTGATGTTAATATACCAGACGAAAAAGTACGTTTACATATCGAATCTTACAAGTACCACACTTGAACCTTTGATAACAAGTGTAAAAAACAAAACGCATAACATATGTTCCTTCCTCGAAATCAAAATATTTGATACTTCGTTATCAGATAAAGTTGTTTGTGTAGGAAAAAAATGACCAGTTTTATATAAAAGAGCACCATTAGGGAAGTGATTATAGCAAACATTGAATCTTAACAACCTGGTCACCATGTTCTATCCAGCTATTATTGTAGGCGTTACAGTTTTGTTAGCCTCTGCAAATGGGGCAGAGGGGGCTACACTTAACGCTACATCCAGTTTTAGTGTTTCTACTATAAAGGTAATAATTTTAATATTCTTTTTTCAACTAAAATATTTTACCTGTAGATATTTCTGGAAAGTTTATGAATGTCCTTTTATATTTATTTAATGCTTTAATTACTTGACGTTCTTTTAAAAGGGTTGTGTTGTCAAGGAATTAAAAAGTCTATACGGGGTGGCGCATCCTCATTTGCTTCAGTTGATTATACAAAATCGGCGATGTCGATCGGTGACGAAGCAATTACATTTTTCAGTAAAGTTTAGTTCCCTGGCTAAAAAGTCAGCACAAGAATTAATTCTGAAAAGTAATTTACAAGCTGTCGACCATATTTTTTTATTATAGCATGCATATTTAAATCCTATCTCAGAAAACAAAGCTTGTAAACATATTTAACCCTTATAATAAATACCTTATTTTGTATCCAAGGATCAAAAAATGAATTAAAATATCGGGTATTCCATAAGAAAAAATATAACTTTGGTGTGGATCTTAGTTCTGACATATCCATACATTTCAATATAATTTTAAATTATGCACATTGCTTTCCCACATATACTTATAAAATATTTTGTTTCTACATCTTCCCGTTTTCGTATAATTAACCGAGGCGAACCTCCCTCGCCACCCTCTATACAATTTCATGGATTTTATAACAATACCAATTGATAACTTATTTAATGATTTAGAAAAGTTTTATTGGTGCCTGGATCTACTGTCAAACTGGAGGCATGAAGCTTGCCAGTGTGATGTCAAGTACCGAAGAAGCAGCTATTGAATCCGCCATACAAGCCGCAGGATTGCAAACAGGTAATCACAAATAGCCCCCAAAAAATGACATTTAAAATGAATATGAAAGAAAACACTGCAAGTTGTCTTTTAAACAATTGTATGGATTTTAAGAGTGGTAGATCTGAACAAAAAACATTATTATCCCTTTCCCATTTCTAAAATTAATTTAAAATACCAGAGTAATTTAACATTTAAAATTAAAAATAATAAGCTTACATTTTGAGAACAGCCTGCATTAACCGGCACACAGCGCCAACCCTCAAGTTTTTTGACACCCTGTATGAAGAAGAAAATATACACCTATGAAATAATGGCGATAAGATTTATTTTTTCAGCTGAAAATAACTGTAAATGTATTAATGTGTGTTAAACAATAAGTGCAGTGCTTTCTTCTAGGATTAATAGTAATGCCACTGGTATAAATTAAATAAAATTAAAGTTGACAAATTCGGAAAATGTAAAAAGAAATATAAAATATTCAACAATATTTCTGGAAAAAACCTCATGTCTAGGTGTATTTCTGATCGAAATATTCATTATTTAAAGTAGTTGCACTTTTTTAAGAGACACCCTATATGATATTATACAGGGTGATTCAGATTTTACTAGAATAACTTCAGGTATCTCGATAGAACTAACCGAAATAATGATAGTTTGTATTATATACCATACTCCAAAAACGCTTCCGCTTGGAGTAAAATGGCGCTAAAATTTGAATTCTTTTTCATATGGCATGCTGCTAATTAACTAACATTTTTCGAACGCATCAGCTGAGCTATGTCCGGAATTTTGTGGAATATCTAGAAAACTAAGCGACATATCAAAACAATTTAAGAACAAGAAAAGTCAGTAAAAAGACGGAAGATATCAGAAAAAAATACAAATTTATCCAGTGGCGTGCGACAAAAAATTTCGACAAGGTTCCGTGCAGTTGACACTCACAAAAACAACACCCTGTATAGCAATTAATCCGATTTTTTTCACATATATCATCCACGTTGCCCTTAACATTTAAACAAACACTTGCTTATTTAGATCCTTTGGCTTACGAGTAATAAAATATAAACCGAAAAATAATTCAAATTTTAGCGCCATTTTACTCCAAGCGGAAGCGTTTTTGGAGTATGGTTTATAATACAAACTAAGAGTATCATTATTTCGGTTAGTTCTATCGATACCTGCAGTTATTCTAGTAAAATCTGAATCACCTTGTATATTAGATATAGTTACACAATAATTATTGTCTGTGAATAAACCTACCGCGTCATCAATAATACGCAGCGGCGCGTCAATAAAAAGAGATGTAGTAAGTACCTAACTATTAACATTTTAGTACAGTCATCTGGCAAATTTAACTCCCATCAAATTAGCCCCGCTCTCATGCTTTGCCAGTCGTAAGTGGTCCACTGGAAAAGCTTAAATTCAAAAATTTGTATCCCCTCACCCCCCCGTTTTTGAGAAACTCAAAAAAATGTTGGTCCACAAAAAATGATTTTGTTAAAAAATGTTTTAAAAACTTTGCGACAGTAAAAAATGGTTTCACCCGGAAAAATGCACAAAACTGCGTTTCAGTGAATTTGGCGCCCTCTAACTTTGTCCCCGTAGGTTTTAGAGGCTTGTTACTTAGAAATGAAAATTTAGAGAATTTAATTATCTTCATTTTTTTGTTCCATACAATTTTCTGTGGGACCTACGGTTCAGCCAGAAAATCGAATTCAAATTTTTTTTGAGTTTCTCAAAAGCGGTGGGGTGGAGGAATACGAATTTTCGAATTTAAGCTTTTCCAGTGGACCACTTACGACTGGCAAAGTATGAGAGCGGGGGTAATTTGATGGGAGTCTAAGAGTTTTTTTGATGCCAGATTGACTATACTATTTTACCAACACAATAAAGTACTTTTCTTTTATTTATTAGTCTTTAATTTTGAAGTTACAAAAATAAAATATGCAAAAATGTAACAGGTTAAAAAAATAATCAAACCAATTTAAAAAGAAGAACCAAATTTAGGTAAAAAACAAAGCTGTGAACGTATCTGTTAGATAAAATAGTAGGCAAAGAAAAGGGCCAACTAAAAAGTTTATTGAGGGCCTTACAACTTCACTAGTAGGTATTTACTTTTATAAACATTTTCACTAAAATCACGAATACACGATTTTAATTTAGTATTAATATTCAAAATATGCTTTGGATGTCCTTCTTCAATAGTAGTATTTTTCTGCGTACACCATAGAACTAAAGGATTATTGCAAAATTATTTTTATTTTACAGCCGCATTCAGAATTATTGGTCATCTCGACGCGCGACGATATTTTTTATTTTACTGCGGATAAGATGTGTTTAAAAAATCGCCCACCGACTAAAAACAGCGAATAGGCGACATAATCGCGGCCGGAAGGTTTGTCGACTACAGCTCGCGTTCGGCGACGTTCAAGATGTAACGACGAGCAGATGATGATGTAACAAGATGCATCATCGAGAAGTGTCTAGCCCTAGCAGTCAACTTTTAAGCTTGACCAATCAGGTTGGTTAGCGTGGTTATTTGAAGTGTGTTAATTCATTTGTGTTTGTCAAAAACTCTAACGTGATTGGTCGGGCCTAATAGTTGCCTGTTAGGGCTAGACACAAGTCATCATCGCGCTGTCGAGATATTTTTATTTTTCGCGTTTAGCATTGGTTTAGCGTAGGTCTAAGCGTTATGTATAAAGCTCGACTAATATACACATTAAATAATTGAAATTCAATTTAATTATTTGACTAAATTTACTGAGAATTTTAATTTATTTTAGGAGATATCAGTGACTTTTTTAAATAAAAACGTATTACAATATTTTGAAGGGATGCGACGCATCACCCGTAGCAATGGAATTCTTCAGCATTGATGACGCGTCTGGTTACAGCTTTATATGCGGCCACTCTATAATACAAATTATTTTAAAAAGAATTCTGAGTTTTCCGCCACTAGAAAAAAGAACACTTAGTGGCAAAAAACCAGAGTCCTTTTCAATAATTGAAATGGCCACAAAAGTCTATACAGGGTGTCCCAGAAATAAGTACAAGTATTTTAAGGGGTGGTAGATCTCGATAAAAGAAACATATTTTCTCTTTATTGTTTTTCAAATAAGTCCAAAATAACGGAGTTACATATTATTTTACTTTGAAAATTCCACACCTGTAATTTTTAACCAATCAAAACGTGTTTTTTTGACAAATCACCATGGCAACGCATACATTTTAGTGAAAATTTTATCCTTGTGGGCACCCAACAGCGAATTATACTGGAAATTTTTTTAACGTTTATAATGACAGAATATCTTTTTGAGAGTCTGGTTTTTATTTGTTTACATGATAATTATTTTGATACATTTCAATTACAAAGCTGAGATGAAAGTTTGTAAACTGCTTCCATACGCTTGACTTCGATTTCCTAGTATTCGCGGGTGTCAACTGCTTAATCTCCTGGCGAATATTTTCTTTGCTTTCATGACCGAAGCGAAAAATTTTTTTTAAGCCGTGCCGCTTGACAGCTTCAAAACTGAAATAGTTTTTAGGTTTGGGTATCACTTAGTTGTCATAGTAACTAAATCCGGACATTTTTTCTCGATCCATGAATATTTTTAGAAAATTATCCCTCGTCTTCGACTCGGGATATTTTTAAAATATTCGTGAGCTCGAAAAAATTTTCGGAAATAATTTGACCTCTAGTGGTATGTGGTATTACTGGTGAAAATTTCCAAAAAAAAAGATGTTTTTGCTAAAATTTTGAGAACCATTGGATCTTTTCTAGATTTTCTTTCTTGTAAATTTAATCTAATACCTATGTTGCCATATTATCAAAAAATTATGTTTTTTAACTAAAAACTAAAAAAAATCCAAAAAATTTCGAATTTCCAATTTTTTTTTTCGCAAAAACAAACTCATAGGCGTGTTTTTGGGGTTGAACTATACTACCACTTAAAATATTTGCACTTATTTCTGGGACATCCTGTATATTACATATTCATATAAATTATGTTCTTCAGGTGGCTACTGGATCGGCGGAGTGGCTGAATCTACCACTTCCGAATGGTACTGGACAGATTCCTCGAACAGAGTGATCTACACGAATTGGGGTACAAACCAGCCCAGTCTCTACGGAGAACAATCGGAAGGAGCTTGCATAAGAGTAGGAAATTATAACGGAGTCAAAGAGGTCTACAAGTGGGAGGCCGTACCCTGCCAGTACCAATTATATTTCGTCTGTCGATATGACGCTTAAAATAATAGATAAACCGATGAGATTCTTTTAATAAATGATTTTTTTTTATATTTCCAATAACAGTCGTTTTATTTTTGAACTACCCTGGTTACACAGGTAATATGGTATACCGGTTGTGTCTCAAAAGTGGCTCACCCAAATACGTTTAAATAAAATATACGACGGCCTCCCCATAAGAGCAATGAGAGGATTTACGTCCCAGTATTGAAGAAGGACAGAAAATCGAGTCGATTGGTTTCAAGACATAGGTTCATCCTTGTTTAGCCAAACCTCCTACAACACAAGGATAGACTTATGTAGGAAATGCATTGAAATTCTATAGCCATCCTTCAATATCGGGACAGGAATTTAAGCGGTACCCTCCGTATACTTTATTTTAAACGTATTTGGGCTCACCCCTAGATATATAACTTTTTTATTTCTTCAGATAAAAAAAACGAGATTTAGTAAGTTAGTATATCACATAAATTAGGATTGATTGACGTATTCAATTGTTTTCGGTCACTTCCTGTTTCACCGGAAGTTACTATAACTTTTGATTTTTAAATGCCCCCCTCGGTATTTTTTTACTTTATTCCATAGAACATTACATTCTGAATAGAATGACATATCATATGTCAACTTTTGACATTCTCTCTTAATAAAAAATCGTATTTTAAAATTCAATCTAGAGTGCCATGGTTATGTTAAAAGCACTAATTATTCTTAATCAAGGAGCCTTGGAAAAATAGATTTGATAGTCTAATGTTTTAGTGTCTTGTCCTGGCCAGTTAGAAAATGCTCAAATCGTATTTTTAATCATATCTCAATTTTTTCAAATGTAACGAGGGTAGCTCATTAGCATATTTGGAAAAAGCATTTTTTTACAAATAATTTGATACCACACACTTGGTATTTCGAGTCAAATTTTCGTTACGACCCGCAAGTTATAATTTCAAATAAACCATATGCGAAAATGTCAAAAGTTGACATATGATATGGCATTCTATTCAGAGTGTTATTTTCTTTCGAATAAAGTAAAAAAAATACCGAGGGTGTCATTTAAAAATCAAAAGTTGAGGTCATTTCCGGTAAAACAGGAAGTCCAGAATCAATCCTAATTTATGTCATATACTAACATACCTAATCTCGTTTTTTATCTGAAAAAATTAAAAAGTTATACGGGTGAGCCACTTTTGAGACGCACCCGGTATTGTCTGATAAGACCTACTAGCGTCTACGTCTCACTAGTCTACTCGGGCACACAACAATGTTGCCCAGTAGTAGATCATTTTCACTACATTTTAATCAAAGCGAACGTTAGTCAAATTATCCAGAAATATCTTTACTATTTTTTTTAACTCAAATATATTTTGTTTATTAGAAAGATATATTAGTAATAATTACTCCTGATAAAGTATTAGACTTACATTTTCACTGAGTTTTATTCAGAGTGACATTAAACAGACCATCTAAAAATGAAAACCTCTTTAAAGAAAGCGTCCATTCTTCTCAATGAGACCTGGTTTAAATTAAAAAGAAGTATATAGTAGATATATATGAGTCTTTTTTATACTTCTTTTTAAAAATGAAAATCTCAAAGAATGCAACAATGATGAGGAATTATTATGTTTTAATACTAAATTATCTAATAAATAATAAAAGTCAATGTATAATTATATGGAAAATGTAATTGACTTTTATTATTATTGAAATTGTTTAATTTTTTTATAATAATTTTTATTTTGGTTCGGATGGTTTAATAAGTTTTCTGGGGTTTATCAAAGGTTTTATGGTATCTAAGCTTCTTTTTTGTGCTAAAAAGTTTTCTTTTTGAATAATACCTACTGTATGATCGAAAAAAATCCGGTATCTAGTTTGACTTGGAAATGACTACCGATGACATTCCCCATATAATTTTACATATAAATTTACTAGCGTGTACCAGCGACTTCGTTCGGGTCGAATTAATCATTTGTAATGGTGATGATAAAGCAAAGCAAGAATTTCCATTAACATACAAAAAATATTTCCTCACATTTATGTCAGCATGAGAAAAAACAATATGGCGATATTATTATATAACTTGGTAATATTTGAGGGGTAGTTTCATCTTGTTAGAATTTGACTTTCGAAAAATCCGTTTGCCAAAAATAAGCTTTTTACGTCAAGCAGTTTAAGCATAATCGTGGTTAAGAGACTACCCAACTTTTTGGAAGACCCTGTATGATTTTTTAAAAAATTTCAAAATATGTAAAAAAAAACAAATAAATTATGCTTGTCCAAGCGTTTTCCCGAAAGATTAACCGTTTTTTAAATAACAAATATTGTAATATTTGACGGGCGTTTTCACCCTCTTGGAATTTGAGAATCGAGAAACCCCTCCTTATCGAACCTCTACACCCCACAGTCAATCCGTTTGCTAAAAATCAGCTTTAAACGTCAAGCAGTTTAAGCAGAATCGTGATTACTCAATGGTCATATTTTATGAAACACCCTGTATAAATTTATAAAAAATCTTAAAATATGTAAAACAACAAAATAAAATATAAGTGTTTAAGAGTTTTTCCGAAGAACTCACTGGTTTTTAAATAAAAAATATTTTAATATTTGAGGGACAGTTTCACCCCCTTAGAATTCGAGTTTCGAAAAATCCCTTCTTATCGAACTTCTACACCCTAAAGTCAATCTGTTTTCCAAAAATCAGCTTTTTATGTCAAGCGCTTTAAGCAGGATCGTCATTAATCAATGACCAGATTTTTCGAAACACCCTGTATACATTTTTAAAAAATCTTAAAATATGTAACAAAACAAAATAAAATATACGTGTTTAAGCGTTTTTTCGGAAACTTGACCGTTTTTTAAATAAAAAATATTGTAATATTTGAGGGGTGGTTTCACCTTCTTGGAACTGGAATTTCGAAAAATCCCTTCTTATCGAACCTCTATACTCTAGAATCAACCTGTATGCCAAAATTGAGCTTCTTACGTTGAGTGGTTTGAGCAGGATCGTGATTAATCAGTATGTCAGTCACTTAAGGATTTTATATATTAGTATAGATAAAATGACAATGATCTTGATTTCATAGCCATCGCTGACGCCGTTTTTTTCGATCGTATTGTATTTTTGTTGACGGGCTCTTTTGGTTCTTTATTATATTCTATCAAAAATGTTATATATATACAGTAGAGAGCTTTTAACATAGTATAACTACTATGCTTTTAATGTTGGTCCAATAGAAGCTTTTGCCCATACAGCACACTTCGTCCCAGGGACGTACATGTCCAGTACGTTTTATGTCCATTTTACGTCGGTACGTCCCGGGACCAATTAGGGACGTACTATTTACGAACATACGTACATTGTATGACTTCAATACGGACGTGCATGCGAGTACGTACTACGGACGTACATGCGAGTACGTATTACGGACGTACGTGCGAGTACGTACTACGTACGTATCTTGAAAATTTTTCGCACCCAACCCGCGCTTACCACCCAACATCTCTATTCCTACATCTTTAACTATCCCCACTCGCACTGGACTTACTTCTTCCTGCGTCACGAACTCAACCCCAATAATAATGAACGGACTGGATCAGTGGATCTTTTCTAGACTAACGTTAATTCAAGTCAACCTACCTCTACTTCTTCTATTAATAAATCTAACCCGACAACTATAAAAAATGATTTCCCTACACATTATCCATGCCAATAATCGCCCATACCACGCCCTTCTGAACGAACCATCCTGATGGGTCTTAAAACATCCAATCCCTACTCTATCGCCAATCAAGCCTAACCAGCGAAACAATTCATGCACGCTCCTCCATGCTTCTTAAACCTTTCCGCCAAGCCTTCCTTCCGTCCTCACCCACTCTCGAGTCTCTGCTCGGAATCGCCGCAGCCTCGCGGCGGTTCTCCATGCGCCCGTTTTCTCTCGCATCTGACAAGAAGCCTAGAGCCGCCCCACCCGTGCGCACGCTCCAGTGTACTTCTCTCATCTCTTCCATTAATCACCGCTAAACAAAGAAATAACAACCACATCACCACTGCCAGTGCCACCCACCCACCTCCCCGCGTCCACAAGAATACCAAGCGTATGAATCCCCCCGACCCTCAGCGGCTCCCAACCTTTTCGCTTCCAGCCTTCGCCCCATACCCCACCCTCGTGACGTCACCCCTCAGGAAAACTCGCAGGAATACACATCCCCACCAACCACTAAAGAAGTTTTGACAAGGAGATCGCAATTTTTTGGGGTTATGGTTACGAATTGTTTATTTTTTGACTTTTTAAGTTCGTTTAATTTAATAATTACTAAACCAGCAGTTCCAAAAAAACAATATCCTCCTAAAATACATAATTACTCCTCATCCCTAACCATCGCGATTTGGCCACTTCTCGGGCCATCAATACCGGTACACCGAATCCACTACGACTCTACGAATAAAAACTACCGACTACACACTTCCTACACCTCTTACCCAGCGCGCTCAACTACTTACTTTCTCTGCTAACATGTTTACCTCCCCTGCCGCCGTGCACGCTCGACCCTCCGGCCCGTCTGCAGCTCCTTCCGCCTCCAGCCCTCTGTTCGTCCCCACGTCTCAAAATATTACTTACCACTCACTTCTCCTCTTCTCTTGTTCTGTTATCACACCATCTATGACCGACACTATTCAAAATGTCAAACTTTTAATAAACGCCTACCGTGTTTATGTCAGACACCAGATGTCATTACCACACTAGCTCTCCTCACTACTACACATCTACTCACCAGTCGGAGACTATTTACAAACATGACACAATCCTTCTTACAACTTTTCGGCACAACCACCCATCAATCGCCGGGTCGCCTGTTCATTCTTTATTCTCTCGTAGTAGAGCCATAGTAGAGTAAAACACGTGTCGTAAAACCTTGTTGTCACAGTTTTCCTCCATCGCTTATTTTATTGTTTTTTATTGGAATGTTTTGACCTTCTTCGTATTTTTCCTTGGAATTCGATTTCTCTCAGTGGTAGCCTGTCGCGTTCTACCGCTGTCTTATTCTCTGATTACCTTTTATTTAACAACACTAAT